CAACTCCGGCTTTCAAAAACCAGCTCCGACTCCGACTCCGGGCAGAATTGTCGACTCCGACCGACTCCAACTCCCGACTCCGACTCCGCAGACCTAGCAGGGCTGCGGAGTCGACAGATTTTCGGTGACTCCGACTCCGACTCCGGCTCGGGTTTCTAAAATCGACTCCGACTCCGACTCCGGTCACAACTGTCGACTCCGACAGACTCCGACTCCGACTCCGACTCCGCAGCCCTGGCACAGACTTCCACAGCGCTTAGATGGCGCTTCTGAGACCTCACGACCGACTGACCTTTTCCAATCTAACCTGTCCCGCTTAATTTGTCCTAGGTTGACCCGACCCAATCTGACCTCTCCTAACCTAGCCTCACCAGAGCTTGACTGACTCAGGGCTAGACTCATCTAGCCTGTCCTATCTGACCTGACCTCGCCTGACCTGACATGTCTCCACTACTCACCTTGATCAGCGGTCGTCTACAGGTGACCACGGCCGGCTGGCGGCGGCGGGTCAGGGTTCTCAGAGACGCCTGCCACTGCCGACGACTGGGCGTGGTCTGGGGGCTTCGCCACACCTTCACAGGGCTCCCTGAGGGACTGGGGATGGCTGGGGTCGGACTGGGGGTGGCCCGAGAGGGACTAGGGGCTCCCTGGGTTGGGCTAGGGGTGGCTATGGTTGGATTGGATCGGGCTAGGCTTGAAGTTGATCGGGCTAGGTTAGGACTCGAGTCTGCCTGGGTAGAGCTGGGAGCGGTTTGTGACAGAGTCGAGTCTTCACGAGTCGGAGTCGATCCGTCGGGAGTCGGACTCGAGTCACCATTCCTGGGCGTGGTCGAAGTCTCCTCCATGACCGTTCGTAGCGCCAGCGGCCGAAGCTGGCCGCCGCGCCACCGAGCGCTGAACCTCTCCGTGCCGAGGGTTCCAATCACCAACACCACGACACCAGTGCTGACACCAGGGGAGCACCACACCTCACCACCGTCACCAGTCACCACAGACGCTCTGTCCGGCTGACCGGCGACCCCTGGCGTCCCCTGGCCAGACCTCGGATGCCCTCCAACACATCGATTGGTGAGGCCGACACCCAGCCCGGCCCCGGCGAGGCAGACGGGCGGGAGTCATGGCAACCGACCGCCCGGCACCGTGCAACGTGCAATAAGCGTGTGGCGGCGGCGGGATATACTCTGTTGGGTGGATGGAGATGGAATGGAAAGGACGAAACACAGGGCGAGAGGAGGAAATTAATGAGTGAGGAAGGGAGAAGGGAATGGAAAAAGGGAAGGGAAATGGCAATGAAATAAACGGAGAGAGGAAGAAGGGGAATATGGAAATGGAGAGGAAGTAAGAGGAAGAACCCATAGTAATGAGTTGTGTAGTTGCGAAGGGAGCCTTTCGTGTGCGCAGCTGAATTAAGAAGAGATTGCGCTACGTCATCAACCACACACCTGACCTCGACGAGCATGCAGCGAGCCACCCTACACTGGAACCCACCGTGTGAACTCACAGCTGACTCATGTGAACTCGAACGGATAATCAACAACGTAAGCCGACCTCAGCATCATAACAATACCATAGGATGGGACGGTGAAGGAAAAGCACGCACAATGAGACTTCCGTCGCCGCAGATCACAGCACACGCAGTCGTGTTTATCATGGTAACCAACCATCAAAAGAAGTACAAACGTGCTGCATGAGTTATCCTTATGCCGGGAAATCAAAGCGACCTTCGACGAACCCAGCGCTGTTTTTGACCTCCACCAACAAACACAATGAAGGCCGTTTGCCAATGATAAGGCACGCCCGGCGCAGGTATGACGTGCCGCGCTGCCTGGTTGTTCCCGCTCGCAGCGGTCCCAAGTCCTGTGTGCGTTACCGAGCACACTGGCTAGTCGAGCCATTGCGAGCGAGCACCCATGGCACCTGGTGCGTCAGGAGTCGACATGACATGACATGACATGACAAGCGTGCTGCGTGGCATGACATGATGAACATGACAGACAACAGCTGATGACACCAGGGAAAATTTGGTGTGATCGAAGAGTTACGACTACCCCAGGGTAACGGAATTCACTAGTTGCCATTTCCCTACGAGATAAGTCAGGAAGCCCCGATGCCGAGGCATACAGAATTACAGAGACATATATCCGAATCCGATGGCACACCAGCCGTGCTGAAGTGACTACAAACGGTGGGTATTGGCCCCCGCGGATGTAAAATACCGGTTCTTATCTGACAGGTGGCTGAGCTGAGGGGAATCCCCGGCCACCGGCCACAGAAGTCACCGGTCACGTCCGATCAGCCAGTTAGTCTCGGAATATCACAGCAGAGGTAGGGCACAGACCGGACCAGCGAGCCAGGCTCTGGGTTGTCATCCGCCTCAGACGGGACAGCAGTAGGCTATACTACAGCTTCGTTTAGAAGGCCGGACTTCAGCAATATACAGATTACAGACAATAACAGCACAACAGTAGCAAGCGGACGTTTTGGCGACGGTATCTCGTCCCAAGACACCCCCAAAGTCAGCTAAATTCACCGCGACTGGTTCACCTGTTTAGCGTCTTTTGACCGGCCACAGCCGCCTGATTCGATCAGAGAAGTGGACAGTGGATAGTGGACTCAACGCCAAAAGCACAGAGCCGCGGATGAGCAGCCAATTCCTGTTTGACCAGTGGCTGGAATGACCGAAATCAGTCGAGATGGGCGCTGCACACGGCGGCAGTTAAAATTGTGAATCGTGTGGGAATCCGCACGGGTGCGGTCGCGTGAGAAGAGTAGGGCTACCGGAATGCACTGCTGGGATGTAGGTACGGCCGCTGGTGGACCGTTGAGAAGATAAATAAGCGGACGGCAGTCTGAATTCATATCAAGGGGACAGAGATGGAGAATGGAGTGAAGGAGGAAGGGTGAGGGGAGAAGGGGGAGAAAGCAAGCGAGGGTGACAGATCAGCGAAGTAGCGATCACAAACAGCATCCTAAAGTGTACATCTGATTTTGCTTTTACTGGATGACGAATTAAGCTTCAAATTTTAACAGCCGTCTTCCCGACGAATTTGCTACCGACGGATCACATTTCAATCAAAACGCCATCTACCTCCACCACAACATGGTCCGCAGACGACCCGAGTCACCCAGTGAACTTCTAACCGCCGCAGGCGGCCCAAGTTGACCGCAAAATACATAAATAGAACAGAACACGTCCTATGGCGGGGCGGGGTCGCCTCTCGGCCGACCGTCTCCTACCGTTCACCGGGTCAGATTATACAGCGGCGGGCTGCAGCCGGCGCCATGCAGCCCCCGCAGCTGCAGCAGCAGAGCTGCAGATTGCAGAAGCTGCAGCCGCCCGGCAGCCACACCTATAGTATGACATCAGCGGCGACCGGCCTGCCCACCGGGAGACACGGAGGGGAGACACGGAGGGGAGGCGGACATGGCGCAGGCGGCACGTGCGGACATAACACAGAGGACACAGCACGTGCGCGCTAATTAGAGCAGACGCGATCGTAGCACAGCATGGTAGGACGAACTTCCAGGGAGCGACAAAAGCTGACAGGTCACAGTCACATCAGGGGGCAAATCTATCGGCAAGAGAGCGAGCTTGCCAGATCTACAGAACGTGAAATCACGGACACTCACAGCATCACGAACCCATCACCGGTGCTGGGAGAGAGATGACGACTGGCAAGGACCTAAATACAACGACTGGCATCTCAAGCGTGGGACAGGGCAATATGAAGAGCCTGAGTGTGGGACAGGACAGCAAAATAAGCGACCGAGCGTGGTAAAGAGTTATGTCGAAGGTCGGGGACATAACAAGATGGCTGGATTGGATCTGCAACATTGATCTCCGCGGGATCGAACTGTTCCTTCACAGTGCTATCCTCCAAACTTGAATACAGTCACAGCTGAGGATTTCTAGACGTCTATCAGATCGAAGAGATACAATTTTACTACGCTATGAGTAGAACAGCCTACAGCACGATCATCATTGCAAAAAGAAATCCAATCTCGAAAAATATCAATCCACAACTATGGTACGTTTGATGAGCCCCACCCACAACAGTCAACAACCACCACAAATCGCATTATTCATCTCCTCTCCACATCCCACAGATCCTCTATGAGTGAATGGACCGCGGTACAGTCTGACACCACGAGCCCCTCTGACAGAGCTGCCAGGGCCGCCCGTCAAATACGATCGTGCCGGAGGGCCCCCTCGGGGGATGAGAGACGCATTCCAGTCATTCCTCGCGACTCGCCACGGCCGAGAGCCTGCGTCGGCGCGTCACGAGTGTGCGGTCAGAGGAGTGAAGGAGAATAGAAGAAAGAAGAGCTGCGAAGACGATAGACGAGAGTATTGATGATTCAGAGAATTGTGAGAGAGTAATGAACTGCTGGTCCGCAGAGTTGTCTCAAGAACATTGAGATAGATGTAGTATCTTTCATCAATGACATTGCAATTCGCCTCCGTCCACCAACCATGCTCCAATCAACTTCAACTCAACAACTTAACACAGCACGGCTACATCCACTGCTCAACACCGATCAGACAGATCACCGAATAGGCTGTGATTCTCGGACGCGTAGGGATCACTCGAGACGGTAAGTAGCGAGAATCAGCACGGATCATCGCAGTTATCGGTGATCAAGAACCATTGCATCGATCGCGAATACGCAGAGACCGTAGCAGTCTACAGCGATTAGCAAGAAGTCCCACAATCAGCGAGGATCGGCAGAGACCACCAATGGGATCAGCAGGGATCACGGCTGTCATCAGGGATCAACCAGCTTCCTACCTACGATCGGAAATCGGCAGGAATCACAACTGAACGTCGATAATCGTGAAATGTCGCCAATTTCGTGCGAATCAGCACGATCTGCCTGATCGTCAGTTCATCATTGCGATCAAGGCAGACCGTTCTTTCCAGTTTGAGTGTTTGTTGGGGTTTGGTGGTAAGAGGGGGGGGGATGAGTGCTCTCCTGCCGCAGCGGTGACCGACACTGACCTTGGCGTAGCGGAAGAGCTCCTTTTGGTGACGTAGTCTCTCGGCCGGCACCGGGTGCTTTTTATGCATGAACTTGAACATGGCTGCACCTGAAATAGGGGGCGAGAACAAGAATCAGTCAGTAGTTGATGGCCCAGGTGGTGCAATGGGGGTTTGAGAATGAGACTGGTGGGGGATTAATGAGAATGGTTCAGATGAAATGGCAGGACCCTCATCCCATACTCATCAATTGACCATCTAAGTGAGTTAAAATGGGTGAGAGATAGATGCTCCAAAGGCAAACTATCAAACAATTTAGGAAATGTTTAACAAACTCCTTGTACTTTTTCAGGATGTTTCATGTTGCAGCATAGAAATACATATCAACACGTGGTTGCAAAAAACATTACCTATCTTCCCTATTAGCAACTGCAGCATGAACTCAAGATAAATCAGTTTAGAACCTGTTTTATGACAGTTGATGCTGATAAAAGGTTATTCACAGCAGTCAGCTATTCTCATATCAATATAGAATTCAAAATTGCATCAGAATTTAAAAAATATCATAAAACTTTGCAGAATTCATAAACTTTCACTATCATTGGATTAAAATGCTCACCACAGGAAAAGTACTAGTGGCTTGGCATATTGAGAAATACTGTGCTCATCATCATTGTCATCTCCAGAAAGTAACGAACAGAGGAGGTTGGGTTCCGAAGGAGGCAGATGCTGGGTGATAAATTAGGCAAAAATTAGCTGAATTGATCCGCAGCTGAAGGGAACATGAGGATGACATCATTGCAGTGGGCTAACTCCATAAAAATTGGCTTATCATTCCTCAATTCTCATGAGCCTCATACTGATTCACTGACATCTTCCCATTGCATTTCAATTTGAGGCGGCATGTCAACATAAGCGTCAGGCCAAGGTAGGCATTTAAAGAAAGCATTCAAAATAAAATGAGACTGCAACGAAATCAAACAAACACTTGCAACGAGTAGGCACAACACCTCAACTCACCGCTTTTGGTCTAGATGATTGCAATCTACAGATTTTAGGTACCAGAATCGTCTGATTCAACACACTGGTATTATAGGTACTTCTCTACCTAAAAACACACTATTTACACACACCACGGATATTATCTAATTCTCTCCACTATGAACACCACACAAATGCGCACTTGGTATTCGCAAACCGCTATTTTGCCGGCACGACACCGGTCTCCGCGCGACACCGACGCGCGCAGCAGAATCGCGTGCAACGCTCCGCGAGCCGCCACCGACGCAACAACGCCACGAAGCGGTGTCAAGGTAACGCCCAGGAACGGGTCAGGTGGGGCCGGGCCGGCAACTGTCAGTGAGTGGATCTGGCTCACAAATATTTCAATGAAACTAAATTTTTGCTCCGTACTGGCTATGTACTTATAATTACCGATTAATTGCACCGTAATCGCAAGTGACGTAAAATGAATCACCAATAGATGTCGCCATAAGCAGGGGCTCTTGGCCACCTGGCGTCACTTTTGTAAGCTAAGGTTCTAAACTGTCCACGAGATGTCCATACCAGCCTCTCAATGGGCTTTGTGTATTGCTGCAAGATGACCACCGACGACCGCACAAACTATTGCACTGAAATAGTGCAGCCCATTGAAATATATGCCTTTCATCCAGCTTTACCTATGGACCAAACTGTGTTACCGTTTATCATCCACCCCATGACCCGGGTTGACGGTCGACAGTCGACACTCAGCAAACTGCAAAGCCAACAGAACCACCCCTTGTGTAGCAACACCTATTGGTCACCAAATCGGAAATATCAAGACATAACCCTCTATATTTCAGCGGTCTAGAGCCGCCCTAATGGACCTCATACATGTGACATGACACATTTATTGAAACACCGGCGCACAATTCACAAAGCTATCACATGTCACCAAAATCCAGCAACGAGCCATCACGCGTTAAAGAATAACAAACGAGACAAGGTAATGCTGTCATAAGCTTACTCTGCCACCCTGTGCATGTTGTCCATTACGCCCTCTTCCCTCGACACTGACAGTGACATGACGGGGTCATCTGGTCAGCTTTCCGCCGTACCGCTGGCCACAGATTCCTCAACGGACTTCGCACCGTCCCCTGCACCGGTTGAAACGTCCGATTTCCCACCGCACACACCTATGTCACTGCTAGACACCGGTTCAGGGTTCACCGGCACATGATTCACCGGTTCAGGGTTCACTGCTTGAGGAGTTCCCGTAGCAGACGGCTCTGCTCCCGGTGCATCTACCTTCTTCTGTGACTCAGAAACTGGTCCTGGTGTTATTTCCGTCCCTGGATCCTCTTTCGCTGTCTCGATGTCATCCTGCACCGTCGCTGCAGCTTCTGAGCCCTCTCCACTGCCGGCGTGCGCCGGTCCACCGTCTCCCACCGACTCCATTGTCTCCGTGGAACAGTCTCCGTCCGAAGTCTCTCCCTTGATGATGGCTCCTTTCCTGGCAGGCAGAACCTGCTGAAGCGCCTGCCTCCAGCCGCTGCCACCAGCCACCAGTAGCAGGATGCTGAACACGTGGTCAATCGTCAGCACCTTCCTCGTCTTCATCTCTACAAAGTCGTCAATGGGTAGTCGCGCGTGCGCGATGCCGGCCTCTCGCGCACGCCGCAGGCACTCGCCCTTGTGATGGTTGTGATCCACCAGTCCGCCGATCACATACGCCCGGCCCGGCTCCAGCTTGTCCAGCTGATGTTCCGAGTCGCTGGTGAGATAGGTGACCTTCTCATGAGGAAGCACATCCAGAAGGTGATCACGTTCTATGCGTACGTCCCAATTCTGCCAGCCATCATTGGCATCCATCAGTCTCCGACTCTCCCCTTCCATGCTAGTGAGGAGAAACTGAACGGGTCGCGCAGCGCGACGGTTAGCCGCGTAGCATCGCTGTACCTGTTTCAGACACTTCCCCAGGTCGCGTTCGGTCATAAGATCGTCAAACGAGAGGTCAATCACCACCTGGACGCCACTGCCAGAAGCCATTGGCGCCAGGCGCGGGCGTTTGGGAGGCGCATCGCCGGCAGCTATTGCGGCAGCTACCGCGGCCGCGCGTTTCTCCTTCCGTCGCTGTCGTTCGGCACGTCGTAAGGCGGGACGTTGAGCTAAAAATGCCTCGCGCTTGGCCAGCCGCTTGCGCTGACGCTTGGAGAGAGTAGCCTCGCCCTCAATGGGGGCAGGAGTGACATCTGATGGCTCGGACTGGCTGTCGGCGGTGGCGATCTTGATAGAGTCTGAAGTTTTTGACTGTCCGTATGTGGGAGACATAGTGGCATTTTCTGAGATCTCAGTCTGTCTGTCTGTGGAGGTTATGTCTGTATTGGAAGAAGACACATTCACTTCACAATTGTCAGACGTGGCTGACTCTGGCTTGGCAGTAGCAGCAGCTGGAGACATGTCCGCATCACCAGTGGTAGGTAGGGGAGTGACCGATGTTTCCGCCATCATAAGAGAGCAGCAGGTGCCAGTTTCAGCAAACCCTTCACAACTCTGCAGAAGAAAATAAGAAGAATTAATTACAGGCTGAACAACCAGAACATCCATGATTAAAGTTGCAGTGTCCAACAGCATGAACGATGGAGATAACTTTCATTCGCTGACATCACAAAAATGAAGCCAGCTATTGCGAGCCCGCTGACTCTCCATCTACAATAAAAAATCACAAGCAGCAAACTTCAATTCAATTTAGGTACATTCGTTTTGTCAGCCTATGCATTTGATATAGGAAAATATATCAAATACAGTAGGCACCTAAAACTGTTTGGGTATTAAATAATGTGGATAATTGTCATTGCACCGAAATTGGTAACAAAAAATATCATCTTATAAATGTATAAGCACTAAGGAAGGAGGCTTAGCATTTAAGTTCACTCAAGGGACAACTGTGAAGAGCCACCTGGAAAACTGAAAAGTGTCTCAAAAATCATTGTTACTTATCATCCAAATTCGAAATAATTTTAAAAATTCAAATACACCTTACCGTAAGAACGTCCACAAACAAAACTTTTTTTACATGCCTCAGCCTGTTATTCTTATTCTTTAGCAGCCTTCTTTACACTGTTCTTTTCTTGTATGACGCGCGGTTAGCGACTTCGACATGCTAATCAATTACCAGCATTGTTGTTTGCTTGCTTGCGCGAGTCACTACTTGCAAAAAAATGAACATAATTGTGGCTAAATGGCATGCCTTTTATTTGTCACATGTGCGCGGTATACGCATGACGACGTAAGTGCAGCCAAAGTGCGGCCAGAATAGGGGAATCTTGTAACATTCGGTAATCAATTCCTTTATATTGGGCTCTGAAATTGTCTCGCCACACCGAAATAGCTAAGCCCAACAAAACAAAGCAAAGCAAAACAAAACAAAACAAAACAAAACAAAACAAAACAAAACAAAACAAAAATATGGTAGACACAAATTCGGTGAATCCGCTCCCAGCGGACAGCATACTGCCGCCGCTCTTATGTCTTTTTAGGACTTGGGCCTTTCGTCGCAGACTGGCTGTCACTCGGTTGTTGATTGGTGGCTGGAACCGACTAGCCCCATCAACTCTCCGTTCCATCTTCGTGGCCGCTGGCGGCTTCTAAGGGATCCAGCTATTGGCTAGGACGGTCGTCGGTCTGTCTTAGGCCGCTTTAACCCCTGAAGGGCTAGCCGTTGCTCTGCATCTGGCGGTAACGAGCAGGGAGGTCGATTCGATCCCTTGCACAGCGCCACGCTTCGCCAGATCAGCGTGTGCCGACTTTACTGCCCGGGCACCTCACAGGGCGTGGCGTGAGCGTACCCATCGCGGGTCACTGGTGAGAGTCAATCGATAGGAGGCGGTGCCATAACTATTCCTGACCCTCCGAGCCGACCCCGGGACTAAAGAGCGCTTTTCCCCCTCGCTGCACACCCGCACGTAAAACGCAGCCCTTCTCCCTAACCAAGAAAATACGGATTCGATAATCGTATACATGTATTTCAGAGTACTCGTACAATGTAGTACCATTTCATGCAGAGTACAGGAATGACGTACTGGCCTTTCCCTCACATCACATTATCACATCGATAACGTACAAAACAAACCCTGAGATATACACCCAAACTTCACGATTATAAGCTACGTTCCCATTCATGATTACAAAATACACGCATATAAATAAACAAAAACGCCTTCCACTGATGCGTACCACGACAGTGTATCTAAACATCATGAAAGCAGGTATGAAAGAGCTTCTTGAAAGAGCGGTCGGGGACACCGATTTATAACGTCGTATCGGATGATTTCTTGTTTTCGTCGTATATCATGGGCATGCGAGGTTACAAGCATCGTCCACTACCATGCCGCAATGCAAATCATACCCCAGTACAGTCCACTAGAGGACAAAACTTGGTGACGATATATGGCATTATATCAAATATAGGTATTCACATTCGTCACATCGTGACGAAGCCTACCAAACGTCCCTCCTCCAAGAAAGTGATGTCACCTTTTCCCCCAACTCCACTGACGTCATTATCTCCGCCCGCTGACATCACATGCCGCCCGTTTTCCACACGGTGTCCCGCAGCCAGCCGGCCTCAGCCGTGTCCAGCAGCGCTCCAATGACGTCACGCAGCTGCAGCTGACTGGCGGCTCGGTACTGCAGCTCCGGTCCGGCGGCGGCCAGCGTCAGACGGCGCAGACGCGACGGGGAGAACTGACGAGCCGAGCCGCGGATACTGATCGAGTGGTCAGAAACGGGTTAGATTGTGGAGTGAGGCCCAGAACAGAGTCAAAACAGTGTCAGCTGAATCTGGTCTTGGAACAAATTTATACGGTCGGAGTCAAAACGAGCTCAGACAGAGATCACAACAGTGAATAAAAGCAGGGTTGGAACGGACGTGTCGAGCTTGGGTCAGAGCTCGGTTAGAACGGATTCAAAGGGGGAAAGATAAATGTGCTGGTACGGGGGCCATGCTAGACAACAGGCGTAAAAAATCACACAAAATATTTTGTAACATAGCAAGAACCGGGGGCAAATGGCGATGTTTACAAGCAATGCCGCAGCGTACATCTAAAATAAATCGAGTAATGGCAGGTAAACATTAAGTGCGCTAGAAGAAACAAACAAGCTCCGGAAAAGGGGCATCTTGCAGGAAGTTTCGCTACCAAGCACGAAGTACAATTTCCATAAACACAAAGCGATATACAGTAGTCCTAAGAGCATGATAACCGCCACCCGTCTCTCCCTCGCCAGCCTCGCTCGCCGTCCAGTATCCCACTCAATGTTCACTTTCGTATCCTCTCAGCATCAAACCCTACACTTACCGTTTCAGTATCCCGGCGATAACGCTATGATCGAGCTGTCCCTCCGCCTGGAGGTACTCGGTGAGGTACTCGTCCCGTCCCAGACACAGGTACTGGCGGTACAGCAGCTGCGACCAGTCGGCAGGACGGTCCGGGTACGCGCGGAGTACCAGACGCGCCGCCCGGTACCTAAGGCAAAGCCGGGCGAGTGTTAACCAGGGGTAGAGCTGCTAAGGTACAGGGGTACAGCTGCTAAGGGGAATGCAAGGTGTCTGGCTTACTGACTAAAGGGGCACAGTACGAATGGAGTCAGATTATTAGATGTGGAAGGAAGGTTCCGACGGCCAATGGTAACGGCAGATAGCAAAGTCCCGCGCAGTTGAGTGATCGTATCAGACAAGACCGAGTGTAAAGAGATAAAGGGCTGGTCGACAACATAGAGTCAACCATATTCATTCAATGACAAAAACTAAGAAGATAAAAAATGAGGTTCGAGTTCGACATCTAACAATCTCAGCCTCGGCTTTCGACATCTCTCATTCTTTCTCCCCGACGTCACTCACGGCAGCGTCTCCGTCAGCAGCGTGTGTAGCTGCTGGTGACTCCTCCTCAGCAGCAGGGGCCGCACTCCCTCCGGCAGGGGCAGGGTGCCGGAACTGATACTGATCTGAAGGGCGACCAGCTGAGCCTGACACAGGCTGGCGTCGGCGGACGACAGACGCTCCGCCTGACGAAACAGGACGTGAGAAGGTACTGTCAGTTGCATCTAACGACAACCTACATACAGTATTGAATCGCTGCTAACTGAGGTGCCAGTAAAAGGTGGCAGGGTACAGAGCGGGAACAGGGTACAGCGTGGAACATCTACCATATTGATATGACGCGCCCGCCCGGTGGTGGTGGCAACTATCTTCTAGAACGGAGGCATTGTCTCCAACAGACGGACAAGTCACAGGTAGCTGAGATATTACATACACCTAGGACGGAAGAACTTCGTGTAACAAACATGTCGGTAAAATGTGGTGGCGTGTTGGTACTATGTGGCTACTTTATTATATCACCAGCGTCTACCAACTCACATGTCGGTAGAACGTGGCTGCGTGTCGGTAGCAGTCCATGGCCTCTCTGAGCCGCAGCTGACCGGTCTCAGTGCAGTGTTCGTCCGGACCGGACTGCAGGACGGAGGTGATCAGCTGCTCGGCGCGGGACTGCCAGTCGGCGGCCGCCTCGGCGTGGTGGCCGAACCTGGTGGGACAAACGAGCAAACACATACTGTCAGGTCAAGGGGGACAAACATGGTGGGGCAAAACCGACAGGGGCACGATGTCAGGAGGAGCCAAACTTTATAGAACAAAACTAAAAAACAAGCGTAGTTAGAGATGGACGAGCCTAAAAGAGCCCATAAAAACACATAAGGTAAGTGTAGGATAGAACATGATTGCACAAACACACAAACAGGTGGGCGCCGATAAATCTAACAAGACCCAATGTGACCCGGCATGACTTGTGTCCCATTGACTGTCCCTAGGTGACTCGCAGTGACCTCCGTCCCCTCCTCACCGTCCGGTGACCAGCCGCAGCCTGGCCGTGTCCTCGGGATGGTGTCTGATCAGGTGCCGTCTTAGCGCGGCTCCCAGTCTCCCGTCACTGACTCCAGCCGTCAGCAGTCGCTCCAGACGGTCCTCTCGCAGTAGTAGTTCGAACACGTAGGCCATCTCCTCGTACCGGCCCAGACCGAGCAGCAGGCTCACCTGGAGAGATAGGAAAGGTTAGAGGTTAGAGATCAGTTTAGAGTGATCAGGTGTTATCTTAGATTTCGGAGAGGTCGTAGTAGATGCTGGAGGTCTCGGATAAGACACAGGTGAATAGAGACTGAAGGTTAGAGGAAAAAGGTCCGAGGTCAGAGAACGAAAAGGAAGTCAAAAGAGGTCAGACGTCAAAAAACATCAATGGCAAAAGGTATGCAAAAGGTATGCAAGCTAGAAGGGCGAATTGAAGTCAAAACTTCAGTGGTCAGAGGGTCTACATTGTCAGAGGCCAACAGCAGGGGTCAGACGGCCTACAGGTAAGAGAAGACACGTCGGAAAAAGACGTTTCAGATTATGCCATTCAACATTTGGTATTCTACAATACACACCTACATGCCATTACATGCCACACACTCTTAGATGTGTTACCGTGCCCTCACCATGAGTCTGAAGTCCTCTTTGACCAGCAGTCGCCGCACCAGCTGTCGAGCTCTACCCATGACGTCACCGATACCTTGGAGGTTCAGCCGGGCCGTGTGGGCCGAGTGGGCGGCGACCAGCAGACCGACCTGGCAGTCGTCACCTGGGGGATATATGACAGAAAACCGTCAGACAAGTGACAGTCAAAGCCTGGCCGAGTGGGCGGCGACGAGTAGACCAACCTGCCAGACAAGACAAGACAGACTTAGAGCGGTCAAGATCCGACGTGACGGTCGTTTCTAGCATAATAATACAGACTCCGTTAGCCAACGAAACTCGTTTAAGAAGTGAGCGCTCAGATGGACCAAAAACCCGTGAGATTGGAACTTCGGGCGCCCGATGAGAGCCTCGAAGAGAGACTGGAAGCCGAAGGGTGAACTGACCGTATCCATCGGCCTCGGGAAAGGAGGCCAGGTCCTCGGCGGTATCCAGCAGCCGGTTTCCGAGCAGCACGGGATCCGGACACAGAGCCAGCAGCGGATCCAACTCTGAGACGCCTGTAAGTTCAGAGAGTGGTCAGCGCACACACAAAAAGCTGCGCGCAGCTTGACAACACATCGTCAAAGTCATCAATGACTCATCAAATAAAAAACGGCATTACCTAAGCATCACACAATTACCCCCCCCCCCCCCCCCCCCTGTACTTACCTGCCTAGTCTAAGCAAACGGCCCTCAGTCTGTCTTTTCCCATCTACTGACCTGCCTTGACCTGTGCGATGACCTGTGCCAGTATGACCTCAGTGACCTGGCTGTCGGGCAGCTGGAGGCCATGTATCAGGTCGGCGGCCAGTCGGTAGCGGTCCACACCCGCGGGATCGCCCGTCAGGACCGAACTGAGCAGCAGTAGCGGCTCGCGAGTGAGCACCACCTCCTGGGTAGGAGAGGGGGAGAGGTCAACTCTGGTGGGATACGTGTTAAAATAAACATGTAGATAGCAATTGTAAAAACTTGTATCAAACAATCGTATGAGTTGTATCTTTTTCCTTTTCACTCTCCAGCAGTATATTACAAGCAGTATACTACAACAGTCAATGCATGCATAATGCATGTATCATGCATTGACGCGCTGACAAGCCACAAAATTGTAAGCACCAATGACTGGTATTTGCGAATAATAATGAAGAAGTTTATGCGGGGACTGCTAAAAATCGTTTATCAGCGGCAACTGGTGCTCAATTTCACGATAAATGTGAACTTAGCTCTTCGTACCTACAAGACGCAAGCGACCTGAAGTACACAACCGGCCCCGCACAAAACCTCTGCTTACCTGGTATGTGGTCTGGAGGTCGGTGGCGGCGCGCGCGCAGGACAGCACCCGCTGTCCGATTTCTGAGCCGTGTCTCAGGGCGGCCACCAGCTCCGTCAGCTGGGACAGCTCCGACCGAGACTGGGGCTGGCGCGCGTCGGCGGTCGAGCAAACTGCGGGGACGAGAAGAGACGTTTACCTTGGAGAGGCAGACTTGGCTAGACATACAGAAAAAAGGTGAAATATTGAGTACGTACATACCAACATAACATGCAAACACTGCGACGAGCCATGTCGCCACGTGCAAAAGCGCGAGCTTTGCAAAAAAAGAATATGGGAGGAAAAAGAGCCTGCATCTTTTACCATGACTCTTACCGTTGCTAAGGTAAGCGTATTAACCCTCGCACGACCAGGCCATTTCTCATAACACGAACGACCAGGGGGGGGGGGGGGGGTTGTTACGACCCCCCCTGGCGTTTCGAAACGGAAGGTCGTAGAGCTTAGCGGAAAAAAACCAACGGATTGCTCTCAACGAGATCTCGCGATTGGTGGTATATTTTTTGGTCCTAGGTCAACATTTGACCTACTTATGACCGGTCAAAGGTCAAATTTTCCGAAAAAATCAAACTTTTTCAACTTTCCGCGGCGATTGCGGCAAAACGGTGGGAGATATCGACTTGAAACCTTCACTAACGTGTTCCTTGATCAATTCTCTATCGTTTGGTATGTATTTCGTTTCCCTAGCTCTAAAAATGGCGCGTTGGGAGCGCCGGAAGTCGGCAAGGTCACAGTCGGCGGCAGAAATTCGAAAAATCAAAATTTAAATTTTTGAAATCTGATTGTATTTTTGGATTTGGGAGGTCCATTTGCTCCCTATAGAAGCTAATATTGCTGCATATTCCCATTGAGGTGACAAGAATTAGCAAAATAGTGGTTCGGGCGCTTTTCAAAAATAGTACCGGACGCTGTTCCTCTTGTGACGTCATAGCTCCGTGACCTGACCTGACCCGGTCAATTTTCTTGCACCACACGATAGCCAATGCTTGCCCCAACATGCATGGGAAGTTTCATCATGATCCATCAAACAATGTGGGTATCACCGGCAGAAAACCTAGGGATTCGGCGCACACTTTTGGTAACTGTCGGCCGGAGGCTGTACCTCTTATGACGTCATAACTCCGTGACCTGACATGACCCGATCAATTTTTTTCGGCAAAAGATGCGCAAAGGTTGCCCCAGAGGGTATTGAAAATTTCAGCCCGCTACGACAAGCCGTTTAGCGTGCTTCGAAAAAACCTCAGGGGGGGGGGGGTGATACAACCCCCCCCCCCCCCCCTAGGCGTTCTAGGGTTAAAACTACAACACATGCATGAGCTCATTAATTGAGCTCAGTGACATCAAACCCCGAACTAAAAACACCTTAGGACAGAGCAGGCCTTCAAATAACCTACAGTTCGCCGCGCTACTCACATAAGCTGTGTTTCCAGCTGCGACCGAGCGATGAGCAGAACCCGATACTGCGGCGTCTTCCATCCTCCTCTCTCCTCTCTTCATTATTGTCACCGAGTTGGTTGTCCGCCGATGGATCCGGGTGCACCGACTGCGGATCTGGCTGTACCGAGTCGGCGTCCGTCGCCAGCGTCTCACTATGAATAGAGCAAGCACCGGCGGCGGTCCAGCCCCCTCCAGATTCTGGTGTCGTCTCTCGTGACTGTCCCGTCCCGCTGGAGCCTGTCGTTGCTAGTCCGTCCAGTCTGACATCAGTGTGAGTCTCAGACTGCAGTCTGGAGTCTCCCCAGGCAGTCTGACTGTTGTTTGGATTCATCTCAGATGCAGACTTGTGTTGCCTGTCATCCATCTCCGTCGCTGCCGTCGTTTCTGGGATCTCGGTGGACCCGACGGCTGAATCTAGTCCATCTCTTGCAGTAGCTCCAACCTCTGTCGTCGCTATTCCGTCTTCCCCGACTTTTGGACAAGCTGCTGGCTGGGAAGAAGACACAGCGCTAGCAGCAGTAGTAGTAGAATAAGCAGCAGTGGCAGCAGCAGAAGCGGCGGCAGCAGCAGCCGCTGTGGCCGGCTCACCACCCGCGGATTCAAGGGAGACCTCGTCTTCCCCTTGCCGACCAACACGTTCGGCCAGCTTCAGCAGACGCACCATCCGCTCCAGATCCTGTACAGACACAGCGGGAGAAGGGGGGAGGGTGGAAAGGTTAACTATGGGAGAGACAAAGGGTCATTGCCATTCAGCATTGATCTCCTCACAGAAAAGACGGATGGTCATTCGGCAATGACCTAATAACTGTGTCTAAAGCACTGCAATAATGCTCGCTTACAACTTGTTTGTTCGCATCTTCTAAATGAAAGACATTTTACAATGCTTTGAAAACTACCTAAACGATTAATAAAGTCACATCTTTGATTCAGGAATCTTTCAAGTCATGATCAATGAACATCTTTAACGCAGACCATATAAAATATGTGCCTTGACTTGTTCAATGCCGACCATGGTACAGTGATAGGAGACATAAAAAATCCACACCGAGAGCTCAGCATATTCCGTCTCTTACCGGCGTGGTGACTCCGAAGCACTCAGCCACCAGCAGGGCCTGTCGGAGGTGACCCTCATCCACCAGCTGTCCCAGCACGGCCCGGACAGTACTCAGCTGATCGGGGGTCAGCGCCGGCTGCACCGGTCGCCGGCCCGACGCCAGTAGCGGCCGCCGGTACAGCAGCGGCTGGTGGGTGGGGGAGGGCGTGGGGGAGGGCTCCGGCTCCTCTACCTGTGGGGATAGAGAGGGAGGGTATGTGCGTGTCATTTTTCCAAGTAAAGCTATGTCATACCAACTGATATACAGAAAGCAAACGGTAAAACCAAAATTGATTCTAGAGAACCTTCGCAGGACATACAATGAAATGGCAGACACATCCGACCCCAGCCACATTGGTTGTTATCCCACCGACCGTCCCCAAACTACACCTCTGGATATTGCGCCATTCTCCCACCAACAGCAGCATTACCCCCCCCCCCCCCCACACACACACACCGTAACCCTTTCCCCAGCTCACCCACATACCGTTTCCCCATTCCTCCACTTACAATTTCTCCGTACTCCCTCAATGACCGTTTCCTCGTTCCTCTTTCTGTTCCCCTCCCTCCACCCACTCTGCCGTCCAAAGCCAAAACACCGTATGGGCCATTTTTTCCGAAATATGGTTTTTGATACCAGGACAATCCATTTTTGACGCTGCGTTTAGCTGTACCATTTATAGTTTTATATAGAAAATATATTTTTTATTATATCCGATGAGGTATTATGGCTTTTGTATATAAACCATGATTTAGCTTCTTGGTTCCGCCAAAATGCCGTATGGAGTGCGATTGTGAAATTACCCAGTTGTTTCAAGTCGTCAACTCATGCCAAAACACCGTATCACAGCGATGTGGTCTTTTGGCGCTGGCGGACGCTGAACCTATGCCACGCTCATGCCACCGTTTCACATGCGATGCGGTCTTCTGGCTTTGATTTCGAACGAGATTTCCGACAAAACCAGTGACAAAAACACCGTATTGACTGATATGCGGTATTTTGGCATCGGTTGGTGTCGGTAACTCTCGATCACCTTGAAATGCCCTCTTTTGGCACGAATGATTCAACGTGTTTAGGAAATAAGCTACCCAATATGGAATTCATGACAAAATTGACGGCTAATAATGATAACGACATAATTTTTAGAGGAATAATATTTAAAGATGTAAGCCGTTAGAGCAATACCTGCCAGACTGTCGTGTGGGCAAAGTAAATCAGATCGAGGCTGCTTTGAATGCAGCAAACAGGCGGTCCACCTCACTTCAGGCAAGGAAGCCGGTGGCGAATATCGAAGAGAGGCCGATCGTGAGTGGGCTGACGACGGGGTGACGGTATCAGTATGATGAAAGTGGTGATGATACATAAGATTGGGTTTAGCCATGCTCCTTCGTCCCTGGGTTACGGCCACGGGTCTTCAACTGAACAGTGTGACAATGCCTGAGAACACCCGCAGCGTCAGAAAGGACTATCATGTTGTGTCCGTTTGCATCGTCTGGGACGATGGGTGTAGCCGGACATTGAACTGGTGGAGGTATCTGGTATTTACTTTTTGCTTGCAACTTGGGTCTTTCACACAGTCCAAAAGTGGACGCTGATGATTGCTGTTCAGTGTCCAGTGTGCAATCGAACCACCTCACAATCCAGACTGACGCTAAAGTCGATCTAACCTGAAAACACCGGCATAGGCATGAACGCCGATGTCGTAGCCGTGCCAGGTAAGTTAGCCCAAAACTGAATCAGAAATCAGTTTGTTTCGGAGCATGTGAAGGCGGCCGGTGAACGCTTGAATTTGCGTGGAACTCAGACTCTCCTATAACTAGAAGATGGCAAAACCTGCGTTGCTTCATTTAATTATTTCTAGCGCCGTCTTTTTCTTGTAGCAAATTTGTAGAAAAGACCGATGTATGCAACAAACGTTCGCCCCCTCGCCTGCCTTCAGTTTCCGACTCTCCGGCATCCAACACATTCTGCTCTCCCCTTTGTAGACTGTGTGAAAGTCCTCAGTTTCAAGCAAAAAAGTGATACATCCACGTCCAGATACCTCCACCAGTTCAACGTCCGGCTACACCCATCGTCCCAGACGATGCAAACGGACACAACATGATAGTCCTTTCTGACGCTGCGGGTGTTCTCAGGCATTGTCACACTGTTCAGTTGAAGACCCGTGGCCGTAACCCAGGGACGAAGGAGCATGGCTAAACCCAATCTTATGTATCATCACCACTTTCATCATACTGATACCGTCACCCCGTCGTCAACCCAATCACGATCGGCCTCTCTTCGATATTCGCCACCGGCTTCCTTGCCTGAAGTGAGGTGGACCGCCTGTTTGCTGCATTCAAAGCAGCCTCGATCTGATTTACTTTGCCCACATGATAGTCTGGCAGGTATTGCTGAAATGCCTTAGACCCTAGAACATTCCCCTAATAATTCGTGAATTTTGTCGCGAACTCCATATAGACCCGCCTATTTCCTACACATGATGCAGCATCGATGATTCCGAATGCCGGCAATTGTCGATGGATCATTTCATCATGTAAACTGTATGCTTCAGCTTAACCGTAACTTGAAGGTCATCCAAGCCAAAACACCGTATTGGGGCATAAAACGCGATACGGTGTTTTTGCTTCGCGAAAAGGCACAAAATTTACATACAAACCAAGCCAAAACACCATATCGAATGTTAAGTAAAATGATAATGATTATTATGAAATTTGAATAAATGTATCAATTCTGCAAGATCAGACAATTCTAATGGTCTTTTTCCTATCACGGAATGTTGATTCCTTCACATAGAAATCACACCTCAAAGTAACAAAACTTAAAATCGTTCTCCTGTAAAATTTGAAAAACCTGGGATACGGTGTTTTGGCTTTGGACGGCAGCACTCTTCTCCCGTTCCCCCAATAACCGTTTCCTCATTCACCAATGTAACCGTAACTATCCCTTTTCCATCCACTGACCATTTCGCCGTTGATGCGTGCCCAGGTGTAGGCGGTCCACACGCTCCGCTCCAGTGCCGTAATGTCACAGTCGGGATCAGCGCGGCGGTCGGGGCTGAGCCAGTCCCAGGCCAGCTTCAGGCACACGTACCTGAGAAACCACGCAAGGACACGTGTTCCTATCATATCATACATATACATTCACATTTCGCATGTCAGCATGCATGAAAATACTTGTTAACACACATAACAACTTCAACAACTTCTTTATTGAATCAGAATATGGACTGTCAAAGTACGCATTGTAAAATAAGACAACTTTATAAAGTAATCTATTCATGGTGATTCACCCCTCCTCACCGGCCCTCTGAGACAAGTCTCACTTTCCCTCCTCCTCCCACCTACAAACCCCACCTCTCTGAGACGCTGACGGCCGTCTCGGCGTGTTTCCTGAAAAAGGCCACCGCCTCGGTCCTGGAGAGCTGTTTCTCCGTGAACCGGCCGCTGCACTGTCTCCAGAATGTGACCCGGTCCTCGTCAGCGACTTCACCGAGGTCAGAGGTCACCTGCCGGGCACAAAGAAGCGACTGGTGGTTACCTACGGTCAGAGATGGTCACGTCCTGTGGTCGCACAGGAGTCACCTCGGCGCCATCGTGGGGTCGGTGAGATTGGCTGATGTCATCTGGAGGTGATCTGTCAGTTACACGACGTCCTGACCTTAACAGAGGTCACTTTGGGTCACAAAGAGGTCACTGAAATCACACGAAATCAGTGGTCTTCAAAGATTTTTTTTTTGTTGGGTTAGGCCCTTTCGGTCGACAAGACCATTGCAGAGCCGGAAGGATGATAGGAATTAGGGGGAGACATTGGTCTGGGCAGGCACCCTAGTGAGTCGCCGGGGCTGAGCCCGTCCAGAGGACAGGCCACCCAGCCCCAAGGCACTCACTGCACCCGGCTACGGGGTGCGCTCCCTCAGGAGCAGCGGTGCCGCTCCAAGGGAGCAGCCCGCATGAGATAAAGTTGCCTGTCCAGCCCGGAGGGGGGTTGCGGCTTGGAGGAGAAGGATTTCTGTATCCTGAGGATAGAAGCACGGATGGGTGTCTTCAAAGACTAGGCAATCGGTCCTCAACAGCTCATACACGATCACATGATCAAGTTTGCACTTATGCCGAAAACATACGTCGCGAATGATCACTGTGCAATCTGGAAGCACCACCCAGCCCCTCCCTCACCCCACACCGCTCCTCACCTGAGTGAGTACCACGGGATCGGGACTGACCCCGGCGGCCAGCGCCAGCCGATCCGCCCGCTCCAGCTCCCCGGCCGTGCACAGTGCTGCCACCGCGCGGCTGGCCTCCAAGCGCAGCTGCTCGGCGCCGCCGCCAGGTGGCAGGGCCGTCAGCCAGTCGAGACGCACGGCGCTGGGGCCGAGGACCGTGCTGAGCCGCAGTAGGAGAGGCAGGTCCGGCCGCTCGGCTAGAGAGGGGAGGGGATGGGTCAGGGAAACGGTATCAATCGAATGCGGCACGGAGCTGGCAGTCGAGAAGCTAGAGCTGTCATTACATCTTTGATTAGGTCGCTTTGCCTTCTATTCTAATCTGGTAAGTCAGCACGTTACGCTGAGTGATAGCTTGATATTTTACCGCGATGAGCAGTTTCTAACAAATTCTTACAGCAAAAATGTACAAAAATATAGACCAAATTCAACCATGCTTGGGAACAGATTCGTAGTCAAGTCGTCAGTATTAACCAACGAAATGTACCAGGTAGACACATTACTCCCTCCCCTACCACCGCCCCAAATATCACCCCAGCCTCCCTCTCTCGAGTGTCACTACTTACCCTGCTCGGTCACCAGCATCTCCACGAGCCTGGCGTCGATCATCAGCCCCAGCAGTCGGGCCCGACCGGCCGAGGTGAGTAGTGTGGACAGGGACGACAGCAGCAGCGAGAGGACGGTGGTGCTCAGCCAGCGGCGGTCGTAGATGAATAACTCCGACTGGAAGAGAGAACCGGGGTTGATAGAGAGTGGCGACGGTAGAGCATCACTGAATAAACAGTACGTTCTTGGGAAACATACTAACAATACTGAATAATAATTAGTCTGGTATGTCCGGTCGGGTCATGTTCAATCCATCCGCCATTTTTTTTCATACTGCTATACCGCGGGCGCCGAATGCCATTCTTACCAGTATACCATACCGTCATACAATTCTTCATACCTTCAGCATACCCGCGTCTTTTCTTCAATCATACCGTCCCCTCTCCCATTTTATCCAGGAGCAATATCACCCCATTCCCTCTCGTCCCATTTCCCTCCCATCCCACCACCGAAGCCCAGACTCACGTCCTGCTGTTTCGTGGTGTTCCGCAGAGCCTCCATCATGTTGAGCATCAGCTCGGCCGGCAGGTGCGGCTCCTCCAGCGTCATCAGGCTCTCCAGCAGCTGGATTGTCAGACGCAGCGCGCAGTCCTGGGCGGAGCGAGGGGCGGAGTGGGGGTGAAACGGTCAGAAAAGGGCGCCCTATGGAGGGTGGCAGGCTGGCAGGTAGCCGTATCAGCCCGACACAGATTAATATATAAAATATCCTCCAGTAAAAAATACGTGTTCACTCAAAACTCAACAAAGCAGAGAGTCGAGAATACAATACCAATAAAAATGACCATGTTACAGAAGCTGCAAAAAGCTGCTGAAAAGCAGCGTAAGATCAAAATCATTCAAAGAGCGACAACGACCACAAAAAATGACCGCGCCCGCACCTAAAATTCCCACCTTTCAGAAATAAACTACCTTTCACACCCATATGTCTCTCCCACAAACCAGGCACCTCACTCCAGCCCATCCAAACCTCCTAACAGAACACCAAACCTCCTCTCGATCACTAACCGGAAAGAACACCGCCAGTGCCTTGTCTAGGCTCCGCAGCCGACGTGTCCGTACGGCCAGCAGCGCCAGACGCCTCAGACGGACACAGGCGGCCTCCTCGGCTGGTGTCGGTGCAGAGAGGGACGTCTCCAGCCAGCCGCAGAGGCAGTCACCGGCACTGACGTCCTGCGGAGAGACAGAGAGTCAGAGTATGACTGGGGGAGAGAGAGAGAGAGAGAGAGAGAGAGAGAGAGAGAGAGAGAGAGAGAGAGAGAGAGAGAGAGAGAGAGAGAGAGAGAGAGAGAGAGAGAGAGAGAGAGAGAGAGAAAGAGAGAGAGAAAGTTGAAAGAGAGAAAGTTGAAAGAAAGAAAGAAAGAAAGAAAGAAAGATAGATAGAGAGCGAGAGCAAGAGCAAGAGCAAGAGCAAGACCGAGACCGAGAGCGAGAGCGAGAGAGAGAGAGAGAGAGAGAGAGAGCGAGAGCGAGAGCGAGAGCGAGAGCGAGAGCGAGAGCGAGAGCGAGAGCGAGAGCGAGAGAGAGAGAGAGAGAGAGAGAGAGAGAGAGAGAGAGAGAGAGAGAGAGAGAGAGAGAGAGAGAGAGAGAGAGAGAGAGAGAGAGAGAGAGAGAGAGAGAAAGAGAGAGAGAGAAGTGCTGCGTTTTCTCGTCACAGTTAGTTAACGCCCTCTGTCCTGTTTCCCGTCAGGAGGAGCACACTCAGGAGGAATCTGAGGAAGAGGAGGAGGGGCCCGAGGAGGAGAGCTCGGAGGACGAGGACGAGACTGAGGACACTTTCCAAAGCGAGAACGGTAGGGACGGCGGCTCAGGGGCACGATGGAGGACTCGCGAAGAGAGCCAAATGAGCGACCTTACTTGGAACACACCGCTCCTGCCTGTCTTCTGCAATGTTCAGCATACTCGGCGTTGATACCCGAGCACGGAGCCCATCCCATATTGTAGCCCATCTGCCTTTTTTCTTATGCGATTCGCCGCAGGCTCCGGCTGGGGCCGGAACCTTGCAGATAGAGCGTCCGGGACTGGACGCTGCCGTCGGGGCCGCCAAGGTGACCCCTGTCCGTCTGAACCAACAAACGCCCTTCCCTGCTCCATGTGGACCCCCCACAGTGTGATACATTATTTCAACACTGACCGCAGTGACCGAATGAGATGATTTCAACCTACGATTGATGCCAATGCAAGCATGCTCATTGCTCAACAGTACAACGCAAAAAAAAAAGATACGAAACAGAGGTGTAAAGTTTTGGTGAGGGAGTACTGTTCATTTCATAATTCAACGACCCTTTTCATTCGGATCTTCCTAGCTTCTTCCCTTTTCGCTGGTGCATCATCACATTAAATCACTATTATCTGGCTTCTTCTTTGGTAACACGTAACCCGCGCCGGGCCGGTGCTCTGAGCACCCCCCCCCCCCGTCTAACTCGGCTCCTGGGCCACGTAGCGACACGCGGTAAGCGACAATCGAAAGAACGTCCAAAATAAGGACGAAAACACTTCGGTCATTTTTGGGGTCAGGTCAAAGGTCAGGTCACTGGAGGTCACCAAAGGTAAAATGTTGACTATTTCAACATTTTGGAAACTGCCGACGGCTATCTCGGGAACCGATAGAGCTACAGCGCCGCGGAAAAAGCGTATTCGATATCCCTTTTACAGACCTTTCTGATTAATGTTCTCATATTTGACTTCAGGTCAACGGTTTAGCCTCCAGAGGGCAAAAACTCCAAAAACAGCCGTTTTTACGAAAAACGCTTTTTCGGCAATAACTTTTGACTCAAAAGAGCCATGACATTACTTTTGCCAGCATCTTGTTCCTCTCGTCGAGACGCGCCGAATGAACTATAATTTGACCTTTAAAGGTCAACTTTTAATATTTGACTTCAGGTCAAGGTCATGACCTGACCAGAAAAGGTCATGTTGCATATCCGTCGATCCGCAACGTCGAGCCGAACACATCTAAGGCGTTTTCAGCGCTCTAGCACGTCTCTATCAGAAGTTATTAGCGAAAAACTGTTAGATTCTGTTCGTGACCTGAGATGACCTCGGGGACATAACGAGGGGTCACAGTTGCCATTTTCCGGTTCAGTGTGTCAATCTTGCCTACATCTCGATGTTTGAGAGTGTCTAGAATAGCGTTCGTGCAAAACAGACGCTTTTCAATTTTCTCCCATTGACTTATAATGGAGAGGCCGCAAAATTGACCTGACCTTAGGTCACCGATATCAAAATTCCGAGATATACATTTTATAGATAATGTTGCTCTAATCAATCGCTGAAAGTTTCAAGGCAATCGATCAACCAGTGTAGCTATGACGAGCATTCTTATTTTTTCTGAGGTGAGGTCACTTGGCGTGACCTGGTGACCTGACCTAAGGCGACATGGGTCTGAAATTTTCACAACATGTGCGGAAAAGATGCACGAACAGGTGTGCCAAAAACGGCGGCGCTCCGCGCCGCCGATATCTGCGAAAAACCGCAGGGTGTGTGTGTCCAAACACACACCCCCCCCCCGGCCCGGCGCGGGTTAACCCGCGCCCAGATGGGGTCTGCCGAGCAACGCGGTCTGATGGGGGGGCCATTTTGGCCCCCCCCCCCTCAGATCTCGAGAACCACGCAACATAGCGACAAGCGGTAAACGGTGTTGGATAGCCCCAACGGGGAACTACCTTGTGACCCAATTTCATTGACCTCGGTCAAACCGATGACGTCACAGGTCAGGTCAAAGGTCGAATTTTCACCGTTTACAGGCATTTCAAGAAATGCGTTGTAAAATCGTGTAAAATGCATTTCATTGAAAATCGTCGATGGGGAAATGTTCTTCAAACACATATTTTGCTATTTGAGGTCACTGATACCAGGTCAGGTCACAGAGGTCAGGTCACTGGGGGGTCACAATATGAAAGTGTCGTGTGATACATGTTTTATGGTCCATTTTACATGACAAATGCGATTATGTGGGTCAGACAGACTTTAGGGCCAGCTTAGGTCACGTTTTGGTCCAGGTCAGGTCAAGGTCAGGTCAAGGTCAGGTCAAATTAGGTCAAATTTCAAAGTTGATATTTTTGCATAAAATGGGTATCGATTCGATGCAGCTCGTCACGGGGAGTTCAATGGTGGTCTCCGTTATGCGCTACGAGGTCTAGAATTGCTAAAAATTGAGTTCAAAAATTTGACGTCATCAATTTTTAAGTTTTTCCGCTATAACTTGGCCAAAAAAAGAGGTATCGATCTAAAATTTGGTATATATATGGAAGAGCGCAGGGACTATCACATATATTCCGGTTTTTTCGAAATTCGAAAAATTTTTGGAAATTTTTTGAGTTTTTCTAAAAAAATCAATTCTTTGGATTTTTGGGGGTCAAAATCCAAAAACTTCGAAAATCCGAGATAGCAGTTTTGTAACGCCGTCTTTTCTCCACACAACCACATAAAGAACTTTAAAATTGCTTGTTAACTGTAGAATTGGTGAGCGTTTCAAAATGTCATGTTTTTTGCTCATTTTTACTCGAACATGACCTCAGTTTGACCTCAATAACTCCTGACCTGAGGTGACCTGTGACTTGAAATTTTGTGTGAAGGTGTCAAATTGATGCCCGGTAAGGTACCCAAAATTTGGCGGCGCTGCGCGCCGCCGTTTTCTCGCTATTTAAGAAAAACCACAGGGGGGGCCAAAATGGCCCCCCCCCCATCAGGGCGCGGGTTAAGCTATGGCAAAACATCCCTGCACCTTAATTCCTGCTTGCATCTATCTAAACTTTTCTTCAGAAGTTACCGTGAACAGGACTGCCATAATCAGCAGAAAACCCTTGCAATATATTGGTCCGTGGCAGCTTGTAAATGTTTATCGCTCAGTCTGTCGGTCACGGGACCGGGCCGCGTCACCGGATGTGGCGCCTCTGACAGAGGTCAGCCGCACCGAGCTCTGCAGACGTCCTGCCAGCTCCGAACCGTCAGTCCGAGGTCGGTAGCCGGTGCTGGCGGTGTCTCCTTCTTGGCCACCATGGCTAGAGGCTGGAGAGGAATATTCGTGTCGACCTTGCTGGTGGTGTCTGCCGGCTGTTCCGCGGCGCAGCAGCAGCCGCAGCAGCAGGCCGCCCTGCCCAGCGCCACTGCCGACGAGGTGTTCAGCATCATCGCAAGAGCAGTTCAGCAAGAGCTACGGCCAGTCGTCAGTAAACTTGAGTCACAAGTGGAGTCACTGGACAACAGACTGACTCTGCTCGACTCCAGGATGAGTACGCTGACCGCCCACGTTTTGACGAACACACTGGGTGAGCAGATGGGAGAGCTGTCCAGTCAACTGACTGGAATCACTGCGAGACTCGACAGCCAGCAATCACAACTCGACAGCCAGCAATCACAACTGGACGAGCTCACCGACCAACTGAACGAACAAAACTCGCTTCAAAACAGCACTGCGGTTACAACGGATGATCACCTCTTGACAGCACCTCTTGATGCCACGACATCTCAGACTCTGGGGTCCCAGCTGGCTGAAACCCTGAATAAGACAGCAGCCTCACAGGAGAGCATAGATCACTCGGCTTCTGAGGTAAAGCAGCCGCCAACTCCCCGTGATTGCAGCGACATTCCTCTCGGCTCTCCATCTGGTGTCTACCTCCTCAGGTCCAGTGGCGACAGCAGACAACCACCCGTCCAGTCGTACTGCGACATGGACACTGCCGGAGGGAACTGGACGGTCATCCAACGGAGAGACAACATCGAGCCCCGCCAGGATTTCTACCTGGGATGGAAGGAGTATAAGGAGGGATTCGGTGATGTAACCAAAGAATTCTGGTGGGGCTTAAATCACCTATTTCAGCTAACGTCATCCAACCTCCGACGGTACGAGCTTCACATTGAGCTTCAGGCGTTTGACGAAAGCCAAAGATACGCTACATACCAACAGTTCCGTATCTCGTCCGAGGAGGACGGCTACAAACTGAGCTGTACCGACAACTCGGGAACTGCCGGGGATGGTCTGAAGTATGCTGTCAATAGGAAGTTCTCTACCCGTGACCGTGACCAGGACGGCGGGTCTCGCTTTCACTGTGCACAGAACCATCAGGGGGCCTGGTGGTACACCGAGTGGTGCGGGTACAGCAGCCTGAACGGGCGGTACCGGGACCGCGGTATATGGGACCACACTGGAATATGGTGGAACACGTGGAGGACATATGAGTCACTGAGGAAGGTCGAGATGAAGATCCGGCCCACCTAACTCATCTACATTAAGGAGGACACCATGGTGATGCACACTGCACAGTGTAGGTCACACGTGCATGTGGCGCGTGTACCGTGCGGCAGCCGCGGCCAGTGGTTCGGCCTGCCGGTGCTGTAACTGCACAACTATTATCTGTTAAGAGCGTCGTGCTGGGGAGCTTATAGATTGTTTATCTACGGACGAAAAGTAGCGTCTATATACGCATATGATTCTATGTCCATAATACCTGCATGTTTTTAGTCATTAACGCCTGTTTGTATCTGACAATTATGAAACGTTTGAGCCAATACATTTCTGTAACACCAAGAGACCGTCGAATGTGTTGCCTGTTTCACACAAATTCACCGTGTGCCGTCCCACCTCTACCTGCTGTTTTCAGAGGAGCAGGGCGACAGTAGAATGTTGGCACGGCCACCGGGGCCAGTTATAGACTTACAGCGGGGACGGTGGTGTTACAAAGGAGACGGTTCTTCACATAGTTACATCACGGTGTATAGAGAACATGACGTGAAGTTTGCAAAAGTTGGATAACTATTTACCGACCGATACTCCTGAATGCAATACCGACACACCGACGAGAAAAGGTACTAAATACCGAGGGCTCTGGTCCGAAACGATATCCTGCAGGGTACGGTTATATTATGCATAACGTTTTCATACGCCCCAAATTACTTTGACGGAATCGTTTGGGCGCCAATCTAAACGTATCATCAACCCCTCTGTCCGGCCCCTCGCTTTCCCTGTTTCTCTCCATTCTACAGTATTCAGCATAGTCAGAGTTAACACTCACTGAGGTTCACCACACTGCAGCCCATCCGCCCTTTTCTGATACGATCCGCCATGACACGCTCCGGCTGGGGCCGGGCCAGTGCAGATAGAGCGTCCGGCCGCTGCCTCCGCCGGGGCCGCCAAGGTGACCCCTGTCCGTCTGAACCAACAAACCCTCTTCCATGCTCCATGTCGACCCCCCTTCCCCTCCTCCCCCCCCCCCCCCCACAGTTGATAAGTTATTTCAACGCTGGCCGCCATGACAGGATTGCTAGTCGATGCCAATTCAAGCAATTCACACCGCAAGCAAAAAGAAAAAAACAGGATGCAAAACTTTTGGCGGAGGTTTTTTTCGCATAATCAATTGACTATCAGAATCGCTTAGCTTCTTCTTTGCTGGCGAGTCATTACATCAAATTACTATCACCTGGCTTCTTTCTGGGTGATTCCCACTGATATACGGATGAGTAATGATCACCAGTAGGTATTCAGGAATGGTGATTGCATTGGCCACTGCACACTCCACTGCCCTGTGGGTATTTCACTCACATTAAATCGTTTTGCTCAATCTTGTTACCCTTTTGTTACACTTTGCTTTTTTATAAATTTAGCTCGAATGTTTGAATGGACGGATTGACAGAGCCAGAGTCCACGCTAAGCAGAGCTTGTTGCGTAGACCCCGAACCCTACCGTCCAATCGCGCCATTCCGTAAAACGGTTAAATTTTGATGCCAAAGTTAAACGTAACCTTCAAAGCCGGACACGGCCTGTTCCACTAAACCGAATTCAACTGGCTGCGGCTGCTCCCACCAACCGTAGACCATCCCCGTCAGGAGTCTCAAATGTCGAGCGCCAGAGCGACTCGAACCCGGGCTCTTACTACCAGGAATCAAATGCTATACCAACTGAGTTTAGACAGGCTCTCTTCGCTGGTTCATTCATCTGAATTCTGATTCATCTTACATACCTACTCTGATTCCAATCGCAAGCTTACGTCTCTCTCAGCCTAAGCCGGCATCTTATTGGACTTCCTAACTTCGGTCAAACCTTGTCAGCCTCATTGCCAGAACTCATGCTAACTTCCTAAAATATCAAACAACATTATCCTTCAAACACACTACCACGCTCCTCCAACACTCCAACACTCACCTCGCACTCGGCAGCCAAGGCAGCCAGAGCCGGTAGCGCCATCTGCCTGGCTGCCTGCAGCAGCGCCCTGCCCGGACACGGGTCCGCAGCGGCCTCCACTACAGCGGCCACCATCGACTACATCAAAGAAAATGGAGGGAAAAAAATCAGTGGACTTAGTGATGGTGAACAGAGATCAGTGTGGATATTGAGATCTGAAAATTATTGACAAGTGTTTAGTGGAACCGATGGTCAATGATCAGTAGTTTATGTGTAAGTATCTAAATAACATTAACAGTGTCATCAATCATGATGCCAGTGCCTAGCTAGAGATAAGCTGGCTTGAACAAGAACGGAAAGTCGACGCAAGGCACTCACAGTCTACAAGTTAATATGAGAAATGATTAAAGAACCAACCAGTCAGAACACACACTGATAAGCAAGACTCGTACAACGCTTTAACCCACTGGCATTATCCCACCCTGCAACGCAAAGTGTCACGAGAGCTCGAGTCTTCCCCCCCCCCCCCGCGCGCTCACCTGCGGCGGCGCATCCCTGGACGGCGGCACGGCCGTCAGGGCCGGAGTCGCCGGCCCGCCCGCTCCGCCCGGCGGTGACGAGCTGACCGACGTCTCCGGCGAGGCCGTGCTCCACTCGTGTTCCGTGTCAGAGGTGACCCGACGGCGGGACGATTTACCGGCAGGTCGGGTCAGTAGCAGACAGCGCAGCGCGCAGCCCAGAGTCTGGCGTAGTGAGGACTGGGAGAAACCGGCCGAGAGACGCAGTACCTGCGGAGAAAGGGAATTCGTGGAGTGGAGGGCTGATGGCTAGAAGACGCCAGTCACCACAGCCGGTAAGACGGTGAGCATTAAGGGAGAATAGGACTAGCCCCGAGTAACAGATCAGCTAAAAAAAAAAACGCCTATTATTATTCCCGTTACTCGTGCCTGCCCAGCTCTATACACTAAGAGGAGTGGTGAAAGAATCCTCAAAAAATAGCATTTATCTACACATGGATTAGTTTGGAGAATGGAAACGAACTTTTGTTGGGGACCGTGTACTTTTTTGGGGAACGAAAAAAAATCCATACCACATTCCACCCACCTGATCCCGTGGGTACTGGTAGATCTGAGCGAACAGCAGGAACGCCAGCCATTCATCTCTGGCAGCCAACCGAGCCAAATACCGCTCAGGGAACGGTAAATGGAGTTTCACAGCCAACGTCAGTGCGTGCCGCCACTGGCAGAACTCGGTGGCACGCTGATGCCACCTAGCGGCCGTGTCGCAAGTTGTAGTGTCGGTATCGGCCGCTAGGAGCGCTGCCATCACTCGCTGCTCGTGGTGTGCGAGGAGCGTAGCGGCGGCTTTGGTGTCACCAAGTAGCAGGCCACGGACGAGCTCGGCTGGAAAAAGGATCAAGGACAGGTCAGCAGCTGTTCGGAGAAAATAGTTTAGTGATGATTTATAAAACACTAAAACACCTGACTGGGGGAGGGCTCAAAATGATGAGAAAGCGGAGATGAAAGAGAGCAGCGAACGGGCTGCCGCAAACGGCTCGCTGGCAAGCGGGTTACATTGGGTAGTGGATACCCGCACAGGCACGTAGTCAAAGTGCACAATGCACGTCCGCCTTTCGTTCGTTCATTGGGGTTTACGGGCGCGTCGACTGCGGTGGTCATTTTGCGCCCATAACGCTGTACTGGTAAAGCGGATATGTCAACAGAGAACTGACGAACTGAAGAAGACTAGAACTACTTGAGATACGTTATACTAGTAAAACGAGTATATCACAGGAAAACTGATGGATTGAATATAAGAAAAGATGCTGCCGGATAAAACCCAGGGTGAGTCATCACCCAGCAGGTGGCGAATGGTGGTGCCTGGGGCAATGCGGCCGAGGCAGCGTGTCCGGTTTGGTTCGAGGTGCGGGCAACTTAAGAGAATGTGAGTGACTGTGAGCGGCACGGCACAATGGCTACATGTTGGTTGATCATCTCCACGGAGGAGATAGCCATGCGTTGCATACGTATGCCCTATCCGTAGTCTGCAGAGGACCACTTCATGGTGTCTTTTGCCTTGAAAGCAGGACTGCCAGGGCTCCAGAGTAGGTTTCACCTTTCGTAGCTTCTCGGATCCATGGAGACGCCACTCTGTCTGCCAGCTAAACGTCGTAAAAGATCGAACGGCTGGGTAAAAATCGCGAGCCGGCAGAGGCAAACGACGGAGGCAGGGGGCCGCGGCCGCGCGTCTTGCGGCCGCGTCGGCCAGCTCGTTGCCTCTTATGCCCACATGGCTCGGTATCCAGCAGAACTGGATGAATTTACCTGCTCGTTCCACCGACGTAAGACGAGATAAAATGTATTGTACTATCGGGTTGTCTGGATTAAAACTCCGTAAAGATAAGAGGCTGCTAAGGGAGTCTGACAAGATCAGATAGCAGGAGCTGTCAGACACCTCGAGTCCGCCTTTGAGTTAGAGATGGCGTGAGCTGTGTATCAACACTCAGCGGGTGCGTCCTCACCTCTAAGTGGCTGTGGCACATCTCTCACAGCGGTGAGCTGGGCTCTCAGCAGCGCGACGTCATGTCCCAGGAGATGTTGGAAGACCACACAGCCCGTGACGACCGCGCGCCGCTGCCGACAGTCATCACAGTCCGCCGAGCCGAGCAGCTGGCGGCTGTCGCAGCTGTCGGAGGTGTGACAGCTGTCACAGGAGCAGCTGTCACAGCTCTGTCGGAGAGCCAGCTCAGCAGCCCAGTCACAGGCCAGGCGGGTGCTGCGGAGACGAGACAGAAGAATCGAGTCAGGGTAGTGGAAGGAGGATGGAAGATTGAGTCAGTTTGTACGAAAAATGTTTACGATTTTACTTTTGCGTTTCGTGATCTATGATAAGTTCCTTGTTGCATGCTTACATTTTTACGTGTTGACGTTCATTCATAGTGTTATATTTTCATTTCTAATCATACACTTGTGACATGAGATCATTGATATTAGGACGCGAGGTGATACTTTACACGTCTGGCAGTTCGAATCTTACATCACAACGTATGCTTCATGCTGGCATTGATTGTCTCGTATAGCACAGTGCATGCCTCACCAGTCACACCCCATATCTCACCCGGCAGAGTCCCTCCTGCCGACCACCTCTCCTCCATTCAGCAGGTGACAGACGGCGAACAGCGGCCGTCCCTGGCGCAGGTAGCCGCGGTAGGCCGGCGGCCGGACCGGGCCCGCTGTCTCAGAACCGTCTGGTGAGTCACGGGTCGGGTCTGGCGAGGAGTAGGCACTGCAGGGTGTGCCGTCCGTCCTGGAGGGGGGGGGGGGAGATCAACAGGGATCATAGATACTGATGAGTTGATCGTGATACGAGATTGACAAATTGGACAGCTCGATGAAGATCCCCATGACAAGCCGCAAGTTTAGAGATACACGAACAATGCAAAATTGTTCATTAAAGAATTTCACTACCAATATTCCTGTCATTCTTATTTGAATTTTATGAAAATACGTAGCCGAAAAATATAGCATCCATAACTTGTTCTGCAATATTCTACGAGCATCAAGCAATTTCTTACTTATTCAAGCCCGCCACTTGATAAGGTCGTTGCGAGCCTCCCTGTAGGTCCCTCCCCAGAGGCCCAACCGACCCGACGTCAGCCCCACGCGTCTGTACCTCCCTCTGAGCCCCTTCCATTCCACTCACCCAGTGTCCTGCAGTGACCGCAGAAGACCGATCAGCCTGTCGGGACACCGTCCTGGTAGCAGCTCGGACAGACTGGGCGATCCATCAGTCGAATCGGGATGATCAGCTGTTTTGTCACTTTGGTTAGACAGTTCAGTAGTCTCAGTGGCCGGGCTGGGAGTCTCGGCGTTTTCAACAGTCGGGTTCTCGGCAGATTCAGCAGTGCAGCTGCTGAGTACTTTCGCATTCTCCTGAGGATTTTTACCAGTCTCAGCAGTTCCATCAGCTGTTGCCAGCGTATCAGCATTGTCATGAATCTGAGCTGGAGTTTCAGCAGTATCAAAAGTTGGTTCTGTCGTTTCAGGTATTTCGCTAGATCGTCTTGGCGTCTCTGCAGTCTCGGGAGCTGACTTCGCTGTCTCATCGTCCGGTCCCGCCGTTTCTGCTTTCTGAACATCCGACTCGGACGTTTCACTGGTCACCACAGCGGAAAGCGACTCCTCATTGGTCTCAGTAGTCAAACTCGACATCCCAGCAGCCTCACTGTCCGACGCTGGCGTATCAGCAGCCTCGGCAGTCGAGCTAGACGGATCAGCAGTAGGTTTTAACGGCTCAGCCGTCTCAGTAGCTCCCTTAGCTTCCTCAGCAGCACTTTCCACCGCCAGCACTCGTCTCAGCTCGGGCCATATCGTCGTCTCTTCCCCACTCGGCCAGGGTAGATCCATCAGAGGCGGCAGCGGCCGGCCGGCAGCCAGTGCCGCTCCTAGTCGATACCAAGGCCGTGCAGAGAGATACTCCGACACAGACTCACCCATGCAGCCTGCCTGGTAAGCAGCTTCGGCTTCCAGTAAAGCGGCAAGGGCTCTACCGCGGTCGGTTCCTGTCCCTTCCCGCGGCGCTGTCTTTGAGTCACTCTCGAAGCCCTCCACTGCCAGCAGAGCTGCGACACGATCCAGCGGAGCGCCGGGCCTCCGCAGCTCCGCTGGAAGCTGTCGCAGCTCATCTCGACTCGCCGGTAGCTGCCGCAGCCAGCCGAGAAGAGCTGGTTGTAGTGACGGTTGTCGTTCGGCGGCGGAGGCCAGAAGACGGAGACCAGCGCGGCGAACGGTCGGAGGTGGAGAGACGCCGGAGAGCAGACCGGCGCGGAGAACTCGGCGACAGAGGAGGTGCGGAGAAGAGAGACTGGCGGCGCTGTACCGGCCGCGCCTGCGGGCGGAGAGATCGGGGGGGGAGGGGGCGTCAGTGAGTCTAAACTCCGAATCATGGGACAAGATGATAGTCACTGGGACAGAGATAAGGAGAGATAATGAGGGACAGACACAGAACTAAACGTAAGATATAAGAGCTATCATTGACCTCAATAAGAACAACGACACGATCACAAGACCTTTCAAATGGCAGAAACATGGCAAATGAACCAGGAAACGTCGGATCGAATGACTTCCGACTCCACGTCTACCAGCGCACTAATACAAAATAAGCACTGAAGGGAGAGACCAAAGCTCATTCTATCGTCATTCATAGGATATCACAAACGTTTGCAAATGACCAGCCTGTCCCCTGCAAAAATTGTTCCCAATGCCATAATTTTCTTTGAAATAGTCCCTTACTTGTTTCCCCACCCTAATATTACTCCTCCGACTTGACGCCTGACCAGCAACCCTTGTCACCCACCTGGCCAGCTCATCCAGTACCAGCTCCCTTATACGTCCTCCGCACTCCTCCGTTATATCAGCCACATCAGTCGCCACTTTCAGCGCCCGAATCCAGCCAGGAGGTGGCGGTCGGGAGGCCGGGCCATAGCCGGCGGCCGGCCCCAGCAGTGGGGTGGGGTCCTCCGCGGCGGCTCTGCTCTCTGGGTCTGTACCAGGGAGCTGAGACTCTAACTCTGCTGACGTATCGTCATTGGTTTGGTCTGAACGTCTGTTCTCTATCGCATCACTTGCATCTTCTGTCTTCACTTTTCCGTCTTTTGTCTTCTCTCTTCGGTTCTCCGTCGCTGATCTTGTATACTCTGACTTGTCTCTTATTTTATCTCTTCTGTTTTCTTTGACATCTCTTGTATGATCTGTTTTCGCTCCTCCACCTTCCATCTTTGTCATTTCTTTCTTCGTGCTGGCCTCCTTTTCTCTGCTGTTCTTTCCCCTGTCTTCTGCTCTTCCGTCCTCTGTACGGTCGCTCCCTTCCTTCACCGCCTCTCTCTCCTTCTTTGGAGCGTTCCTCCCATCCTCTGCCCCGCCTCCCCGCTCCTCTCTCCCGACACCAGCAGCGTCCAGCCAGGCTCTCAGCCACAGGAGACTGCCGGCGGTCACCAGATATCTCCATACATCGGCGGGACGGGCGGCAGCAGCACGGATCATCTCAGTGTCTGCCGAGGAGCACAGATAATGCGACGTCATGACTACATTGACGCTAAGACTGCTCAGACAGTATATTACGTCATACAATGTCGATAGTCCTAGTATTGTCATTGTTCTTCAAGTCCAATGCGTTTTCAACTTATGAGCGAAAACACACAAGCATCATACAATGATTTTGTGAATTTAGAGACAACTTCTGCTCTAGCAACACGTTCTCTGCTTTTCGACCATCCGTGTATGACGCATGTGCTGACCCCTCTCCTCCGTTCCCTCTCCTTCCAATCCCATGACATGCCCCCTCTCACTAACCGTCAGTATTCAGCGCAATGTGGACGATTAGCTGACGGCGTGTCGGTGGCGCCATCTGCAGCAGTTGGCCCAGAGTCGGTGGTGACGGGCCGCTCAGGAGCTGGTCCAGATCTGGTCGGCGAGGACGGCCGGTGCTGATCTGCTCAGTGGCGGGGCTGGGAGGGAGGGAGAGGGAGGGTCAGAGCAAAGATCGTGTATAGTGCACGGTGATCATGCTTTGGTAACACTTAGCGGCGGGCATTTCTAAGCATTTCCTGTATCGATAAACATATCACACCGATGTTGGGTCATAAACCTTACTAGTTCACAGGCTCACAACTGCACTGGTAGAATCCAGCATATGTATTTTGATTAGCTGCGACAGCTGCTGCTAAACGATGAATCCACCGAAATCCACTATAATCAACGGTGAATGTCTACGAGCATTTAAATAAATACGATAATCAGATGTTAGCGGTGTATCACGCGACTGACCTCTGTCGGGTGCCCCCAGCCAGCTGCAGCAGCCGCAGCAGCAGCTCGTCTCGCCCTTTCAGCAGCTGAAGCTGCCGCAGCCGGTCCGCCAGCAGCCGGCGGGAGTTGTCGTCACCAGTGGTCAGCAGCTCGAATCGGAGCGCATCTGACGGACGCAGACCCTGGGGCACGCGGAGCATAACAGGATACATTGGTCACAGTGATCAAGCCCGCGTGTGCGTGACCATCTTGACACCACAAGAGTCGAGGCCAGCATCTCTCATCACGTCTTATTCTGCAACTGATTTTTCCGGCTTTCTATCAACTTTATTAATTGATTCCTAGCATTCATTTTCCATACCAAATTGCGCTCGTTTCTGTCGACGTTACGCGATACCTTGGCTACTACTTTCTCTTTCCGACAAAGGCACTCCAGTCCCGACATAAAACAATGTTCCCATCTGTAGGCACATGCTCTAAGCATTTCCTTCTCATTCCCGACATACTCAATCTCTAATTTGACATGCCCCTTTTCTTTTATCCCTCCTCACACCCCATTCCTGTCCATATTTCTTTATCTATATCCCCACCCTCACTCACCGTAGCACTCAGCACCGTGTCGGCTTCCATCGTCCTCCCATTCTTCAAACCTTCCATCGCCCACTGCACCGCCAGCCGATAGATCCGCGACCAGCGGGCTCCGAGCCGCACAGCCCAGCCGGCCGGAGGATGCGGCGGCGGTGGAGGTAGGTCAGGGTCTAGTTTCAGCCGACCGGCCTCCAGGAGCTGAAGACGACTCTCCAGAGCTGCGCGAACCACCCTCCCAGTGGACGGTCGGCACGGGCGGGCGTCAGGGACACCAGGGGAGCGAGGTGTTGCGGAAGGTGGTCCATCAGACTCCGTATTAGTCTCTCCCTCAGGTGATCCATCAGGTGTTCCGTGAGGCACTCTGTGAGATTTTCGGTCCCCATCCACTTCCTCAGTGCTGTTTCTGTTGGTACTGACATTTGTTTCTGATCTTTCCATTCCCTCTGAGGATGATTCAACTGTAGTGACCTCCCCCTCATGGTGCAAATGGGCTCTCCTACGACGGATACCATCAAGCCTCGTCTCAGCCACCTCCTCTAGGCGCAGCGCCGGTGCCAGCAGCTCAGGATCAGCCTCGCGTGGCTCATCAAGCGCGGCCAGCAGGGAGGTCAGCAGTTTCTCCAGGGAGTTCAGCACATCGCCCAGCCAGTGGCTGAGGGAGACTGGTGGCCGATTGGCCAGTGCGGTGGCACAGACATGGTCCAAGAAATCGGTGGTGGTGGCCAGGTGATCAGATGGTAGTCTGCCTTCCAGACAGGACAGCACATCTGATGACAAGGTGGAGAAGGGTGAATGAGGGGCGAGGGCAAGTCAATCAGTGTAAAAAACATGAAAAGCATCTATAAATAAAGCAATTTCCTCAAATATCTTGCTGCCATGACTATTACCAAAAAATGCTAACTATTCCAAAGCTGTTTCGCTGACTTCTTTTCAGCTTACTACAAAAAAAAATCTGCAAAAAAAGTACCTAGGTAACTAAACTACTTGATGACCTTCAGGTGAATCAATGAATAACTCTTATTAAATTCAAAACAGCATAAGTACAAACTGGTACAAACCCTTTAAAATTGAAATAAACAGCAACTTACCTCCATGGATTCCAGCCAAATGAAATTCAACTTCATTACGCAAAAGCCCGGTAAAACCAAGACTCAGCAGAGATATTGAACTTTCGGAAATGTTAGGCATCTGTGCTGAGACTGAGCCCATGTTGATATTGCTGAAAATAGAATGCAGCGGTAGAAAATGAAAATACGCGGTCTTAGTCATCACGGGTGTCTTTAGTAGAGTTCAACAAACAAAATATCAACACCAAGATCAACGCCGAGTACGGCATTGCTTTAAAATATAACAATGCTGATGGTTTTGAAAGAAAACAAGAAAAGGAACAATTCAAAAACCATTGAGGTCTATGACCGACTTTGTTCTGATTTTTTCGTATTTCAATTTTGATTTCAGCCGAACCGTGACAGTGATGAACCCTCTCAAGCCCACCAATGGAGAATGTATGTTCGTTTATAAACGACTCACTGACTGTTCGCGGTCAAAATGCACATGTTCACCAATTGCTGTCTCTGATTCAATATCTTTCTCTTTGCATTCCAAAATCCCTCCAAAAATGAACACAATAGATGGTTTCGAAGATGTCTCAGCAGCGTCATTTATGCCTAGGTTTGATAAAAATTGCTTCCAAATCAAAGGTTTTCCTTCATAACAGCACTTTTTGTGCTTTTCTCGGAGAACGTGGTGCGCGGATGCAATTTTATATTGCACAATTTTCTCAAGCAAAAGAGGAAACTCGGCTCTAGGTAAGACTGAATAAGTTGCATTTTATTGCATTAACATTGTTCGTAATTTTCCAATTGCTTGAAGTTTCATTCTTGGTGTCTCAGTGTGGTCGGTCATGAAGCACCGAGTAGGTATCATCTATCAGTTATCACTATTGCTATTATAATTCAAAGATAAACTTGGATTTTTAGATATTTTCGTAAAACATGAAAGCTTTGTACCTCAACTGCTTCAACCTATTTGCTAATATTTTGCCAATGTATTACTGGAAAAAAATCATACTCTACCTACGCCTTGTCATACTATCATATCACTACTATCTTGTCACTATCATATCATCATACTAATGTTGCTGTTTGTATCTTATCACTCTTGTAAACTCATTCATTTGGCACTTGTGGGCTCACTTTCCCGTTTGGATGTGTTCTCATCCATCGGGCGAGCTCTTTCTATGCGGGTTCCTTCCCTTCTCCCCATCCCTGCATTCATTTTGGCTACTCTCAGACCAAGGGAACCCCAAACAGGTGAGTTGAACAGGTGAGTTGTGCGCCAAAAGCAATCGGTTTTGCGCCAAAATTTTGGCTCAACTTGCACCAAAAGTTGAAGCTTATTTATGCTGAGTTTTAACCTTTTTTACCATTTGAACATACGCACGTGCCTATTCAAGTATACCATAAATGTTATAAAGTTTGTTAACTAAACCAAGGATTAAGGAGACTATGATAAAAAGCAAGTTGGATAAGCTTGTTCTTCAAGCATGTTCCTTCATAAGCTGAATTTTTCAAAATAGAATGAGAGAAGACACAAGGCTGCTGTTAGCTGTATGCCAGACTGGAAAATATACACATTATGCCTAATATGTCTGGCATAGTGGTGGGATTGCGCTGGAAATTTCAGCGCATGTCCGGCGTAACTTGGCATTGCTGAATTCATTGTATGGCGGCGGCTGAATTTTTCGGTGCAGGGCGGTTGGATATTTTTTTTTGTTTTTTGTTTTGGCGAAAGACAGTCACCGAATTTAGTCGGCACGCTGGTCAATCTAGCAGTAGGTTCGCCCTGCGGGCGGCTTTGTTCAGGACGAGACGTCCCCGCCCCCCGTCGTCGCGTGCTCGAACTGACGAGCCGCCCTGAGTCGACTCAGCGGAGGAACGGCCGCCAAGGTGAGGCCTCAACCTTCAGCGTGGAGAATGGAGATAGGTATGGAAATCCTTGTTGAACTTCGCCAAGCGTCGTTAAGTAATTTTGTAGTGGGTTCCTACCCACTGCGGTATCGAGGGGAATGAGAGCGCGGAAGACCTGGCGAAACAAACGGCCGCCCTGCCCTCAAACGCCCACTCGCTGACCAGGGCGGTTCACTGTGCGGCCACGCATCAATGGCGCTACATTTACCTACAATGTTATTACTTGTCCGAGTCACTATTCAAGCCACTCCTCGGGAGCACGCCACCGCTCCCTATCCCCGGAAAGGGGACTCCGTTTCGGTGCACCAGATGAGGGTGGGCCACTGGGGCCGCTCGTGCACCGAATCGGCTGCTTCCACTCCGCGGCATGCCAGCAGTGTCCAGATAAGCGGCGCCCCGTGCCAAGAAGAGGCTAATGTGCCGGAGCTCGTGCTGCACCGCTGCCCGGCCCTAACTGGCTCCCGCCAGTCTCGAACACACCGCTCCGCCGATTTTTGTGGCCCCGGAACTTCCAGCCCCGGACTTGTGTCCCGGCATGACCCTACAGTGCGCTAAGGGTATTGAGGTATTGGGTTTCCGTGGGGCCGGACAGGGCCGGGCACTCCCAATTCGGCACAAACTTCCACATATGCCAGGCGTACTGACCTTTTTCTTCGGATCAGGATGAATTTAGTAATTATAACATTTTCTTTATTTCAGATAAATAACATCCTGAGTACCTACTTCCTGATCCGCTCATCTTGAACCTGATGTCATCGGAGGTCATAGGTGAGTCTTGGTCCCCTACTGGCTTATCCAACAGGCATTTATCCTCTCAAGGCCATTTTTCTCTCATAAACTGAACTATACCAATTAACAGGTAATCGAGTTGACCAGCACTGACCTGTGTAATGATATTACCATGATGGTAGCAGTTGCACAGAAATCAGCTAGCCTGCCATTACATCAGAACAATGCAATTGCGTGCTTTGAATGCCGCATTCAAACCTGCGCTGCCGCCAAAACACAAATCATTCGCATCAAAACGTCACTTCCTACATGTCACTTCACGTCAAAACTGCCGGGCTTCTGGCAGGTGACCCGCTGCCAGCTGGCACGTGAATGTCATTCCTGCTCTGTCGTGTGACTGTCCGTTTGGCAGAGCTCCACACGCCACTGAGGTGTGGTCTGGGTGTCGGGGCCACCGCTAGACCAAATTGCTTGTCGCAGGCTGAGGCCCGATTTCATGTGGAGCTAGACTGTAGAGTGGAGATATCGGTTCCGAGGGCTAGAATCGGACTCTGAGGCTGGGAAATAATCGTGTTTCAGGGGCTTGGAAGTCAGTTCCGATACTGCTCAAATCGGATATGGGGATGAAAAATCGGTTTTATGGGTTAGAAATGCATTGCGAGTGTAAGAAGTCGTCGGTTCTAAGGATACCAAGGAAATCATTGATTACGAGAGCGACAAATGAGTTCTGATGGTGTGCATTGTTACAAAGTCTCGCCCTTACATAAGCCTGGTTCTGGTCGGTCCGGGACAGCTCGGACTTGAGTCTGGATGGTTTGGTCATGACGAGTGGTCGTCTTTGAGGCTCCCGGGGAGTTTTTTTTTGTCTCAACTCAAGAAGTCCCGTTACGGAGCTTAAAAAGTTTCATATCGAAGTCCATAAACGGACTCTAGCATTATCAGTTTTAAGCTCAAATGCAGTCAGTCAACATTTGAATCAATTCGTGAATCAAACGGGCTCACCTCGACACTCGCAGATTCAGCTGTGGGCTCAAAGCGGCTCAATGCGAGACTCGGGCTTCTCAGTTCATGAATCAAACGCACTCTGTTTATGATTCTGGGCGACTCTGGCCTGTTGTGGATCGTTGGCTGGCCGGAGGTGGCCAGTTTAGAGGCCGGACGGCGGAGCGGGCCGGCCTCAGTTCGCGCGGAGCGACGGTGCAGGGCGGTCGAATCGGTGCGGGCGAGCTGTGCGGAGTGCGGACTGACAGTGCGGAAGAGCTGTGCGGACAGACATTGCGGACTTATTTGGCGGAAAAATAGTCGGAACCGTTCTATAAAGCGGAATAGCACCACTGAAGCGCCAGTTCTTTTTTCTCTCTGAGCTTACCGAGAGGATAGCGGTGTGAGAAGCGGAGGTGGTGTCGATATTGGTCACAATTTTGAAGGCACGAGGTAGCTCAAGAAGAAGCCGCGATGTTTCACATGGATCCAACCACGACTGGTATGCGAGACGGCGAGATTTGACGTCTCGGAGTTGGCGGTCGGCTGTGGCGGGTTTGAATATTAGTTAATCGAGTAGATATTTATGTAGCTTGGGCTTAGCTAACAGTACTTCCATGGGTGTCGTTTTATATAGGCACCTGTGGAAAGTGACGCCCGTGAGTATTCCCCGTTGCCATTTTTCACTTGCACTATTTGAAAACAGTTTCCTCTTGTCGACATTGCAAACCAACATCTGCACTCTGGCTCGAACCATCCCGACCCCTGTTATCCATATTAAAGTCCTATCTCGACACCCTGACTCTAACCATTCCCCGGTGTCTTTGCTTCAAACCTGCCTCTAAATTCTCGCTCTAACCGCCCCCCGTTGGTTGTCTTTCTGTTTCAGACCTGCCTCTCCACTCTCCACTCATGAATACCGGCGTGTGTAACGGGGACATTATGATCCTCGCGGGGAACTCGCACCCCGCGCTGGCCCAGCTGATCGCAGAGTAAGTGGCGAATTCAACCGGTTCGGACGCGTTAGATGATCAGACGGTTGGGTAACGTTGTTTGCGGCATTTGCAAGAGCGAAGCCAAAGGAGCGCTGTCAATTTTTGAATGTTTCATATGGGAACTTTTCACGTATTATTTTTTTGGATGTCAAAGTCAATATCAGATAATATTGTTTTCGTGTCTTTGGATTTGCTAAATGCTAAATATAAATGTATGCTTCATTGCTAAATGTGTCAGTGATGCATGATTAATGATAACGATTCAAGCTAACGTTTGAGAAATTGTTGCTATGTCATATTTTCGACACTGCTGTTGACCGATTGTCATGTTGTGTCGCCCGCCACCGCCTGAGCCCGTCCCTTTCCTATTATTCTGATCACACTGGGATCCATGTGACCTGGGAGGCTCGCTGAAGCCTCTAATGTAGCTTGTCTACATAGGTGTCTACGGCTACTCATGGCATATTCTGTTAGTGACGTGTTGTGTGCCACCTAAAGCTCAGTTCTGTGTATCGTGAGCAATATTGTCATAAGTGACATGCGTGTTATTTGTTTGATTGTGGTCATATAGTGTCATCCACGGCATAGTGCTCAGATGTCACTATATTTGCAGTATGCTGTGATCGCCTTTTATGTATTTTTAGCGTGCAGTATTCATACCCGTGTTAATTCAGAATATCTCATCCACGACCCTCTAGCTCTTTTGTGTTTAATCGATGGCACTCAAACTGTGTGTTTTATCTGCTCCCTAGTAAATGTAGGGTGTTCAATTCTTTTGCCGTCGATAACTGTAAGAGCCTAGGGGTCCCAAAGTCTCACTCTTTTCTTTTTGATTAAAGGGACCCTCCCACCTTCAAAAAAGTTAATGAATTGGCACGAAAGTGATGTCGCTCGGTTCAGAAAGAGCGAAAACGAATATCTACCAAATTTCATCGAAAAATATTCACCGGTTTTCAAGATATTAGACTTTTACTTTTGTTTACTTTTTGGGATTTCCGCTGTTCCTAGCGACTTTATTTGAAAGTGCGGCATTTGTTGCGCGCAAAGCAGCATATACCACCGCGTGCTACCAAACGTTTTAGTAAAAGATTTAAAAATCGTTAGATCTCCGCTGACGTCACAAATTCTAAGGGGGCATACCAATGCACTAGCCCCTTAGAATCCGAAAACTGCAAGTTTGAAATTCCATATCTCCGAATTAAAGCATTTGTCGATGTTGTGAGTGCCCAAACCGGTATTTGCAGGCCATGGCCACCAATTTGGCTATCTCAACTCAAAACTAATGTTAAGGTGGGAGTGTCCCTTTAAGGCTGGGTGATGAGGCCCATAAGTAAATCTATCTTCATCCTATATGGCGTCTTACCTACTGTGTCAGTGTTACTTGTCTGTACCGTGTCGCCCCCTATTGTGCGCGCTGTCTTGCATGATGTTCTATTGCGTGTGCTGTAATTGCCTTTCAACAGGGAATGTGTCTGCTGATATTGTCAATGAACGCGAGGTTTTGCGTTGTATTACACATATGTCGTGTTGTATGTTGTTTGTGGCTTGTGCAACGACGATGTCTGTTGTACGTTGTGAATACAATAGTTGTGAGCACCGTTGAACGCTGCGAGTCTGGTCACTGTAAGACTGTAAGACTGTAAGACTGTAGACTGTACAGACTGTACACCAGGCCCAATACCGGTCATGTATGATTTCGAGCTTTTACGGCTAGACATCTTAATTCAAGGTACGTTTTTTCGGCTACTAGTCGCTTATTCTTGACGACCTCGATGTGAAGGTCGAAAATTCGAATAGAAAACAATAAGCGACTGGTAGCCGAAAAAGCATACTTTGAGTTAAATGCCGGCCGCCGAGCAGTCGGTGCTTGGCGCGGTTGGACGCTGTGATTTTGGACGTTGTGAGTTTGTATGGATGTGAGTTTGTACGCTGTGACTGGCCGTAACCGGGTGTCGGTCGCCGAGCAGTCGTCTGGGGATGCAGTTGGTTGTTGTGAGTTTGTACGTTGTGAGTTTGCACGCTGTGAGTTTGTCCGCTGTAACCCGCCGTAACCGGGTGTCGGTCGCCGAGCAGTCGGCTGGGGGTGCGGCTGGGCGCGTGCCTCGTGTACCAGAAGACAGACAGGGAGACCATGGTGGAGATACAGGAGTCGGTCCGTTCGCGCACCGTGTACATTCTACAGACTGGCAGCAAGTGAGTGTCGCTCGCCCGCCCGCCGCCGCCCCCGCCCCCGCCACTGCCCTCGTCAGTAGCTCCGCCACAGCCACCACCGCCAAGAAAACTATGGCGGGAACCCGCACCCACCGCTATCAAAACTATGACGGAAAACCGCACCATTGCCCATTAGAAATTATAAGCATCATAAGCATAGCCAAAATCCGCACTGACACCCACCGCCCTCGTGACGAAAGCGGAAAAACGTCCTCCGCCAACAGAACTCGAGCGTGAATGTGTATAAGTAGAGCACACAACTACCGCTGTCCCTTTTTCTTTGAAACTATCGCGAGAACGTGAGTAGGTAGATACACGGGCAACGTTTTATCACATTACAAAGAACTTCATGTCCTTACGATTGAGTCGATGCATGCACGACCGTCGACCACGTTACCCAGAGAAAACGCACTTATTAGCACCGGCCTGTATGGAGAGGTAGCTTGTGGGGGCATGATGGTGGGTGTTAAACAGTGTACCTGCAATAGGTGCAAGCTGTGGAATGGAGATGCGTAGGCCGAAAGAAAGGAGCTATAACTATGACCAACTGGGATATGGAAGTGCGAGGAAGTGCTTATATGGTTTACTCGCGATAGTTGAGTTTCGTTGTGATTAATTTCGTTCTCGTCTGCCCCCAGGAGAGAAAACGCCACTATGTAAAGTTAAGGGATGGGAGACAGCCATCCATTTTAAAGATATAAATACTTGAACTATCGCAGGGAAAAGGAAGCCATGATGCGTTACTGGAGGACATATTGAGCTCAAAGTCATGACATTACGATGCTATAGCGAGGCGAGCAATGCTTTTTACATTTTTTTTACGGGCGAAATACCTGCGATGAGGCTTACAACTGGCGCAATGGGACGTAAAAGTCAACTACCAAATTATTAACCAACATAACCGCGGTAACAGTCTGAGGGCTATATAATTAACAGCTGATAACGGATAACGCAACATAACACACTACATCTGATTGGGCCGTGTTCCAAGCTCCTAGCATCACCCCATCCCGGCCCAAGATTACTAAACTCCGACCCCACCAGCGAGCGAGTGCGCGCACTCTGAGTATCCCCGGCTCACCTATCCACGGGGGCGGGGACGGAGGAGCGGCGGGCGGGCCTGCCGGGCTGTTGTGGCGTGCTCTGACACAGTAGAGAGGTGTTGCATGCAGGTGTCTGCTTCTTTTCCCTGTCTGACTGTGTGTGTGTGCCTCGTGGCCTGTGTGCGTGTGTCTGGTCTGTGTGTCTGTCTCACTAATACAGCGGGGTAGTCCGCCCCTTCTTCCTTCTCTTATTATCTCTCCCTCCGTCTTTTGTTTCATAATATTTTGTTTGTTTTCTCTTTGATCTTTTTTCTCACCTCTTTGTTTGTCTTTTTTGCACTTCACCTTCCTTTCATCCCTACATCCTTCCCGTTCCTTTTCATGCTTCGTCACATCGTTCTATTCCCTCTCTTGGCGTTGCTGCTGGCGTTGCTCCTCCTTGCCTTTTTGGTCCCTCCCGCGGCGGCCCAAGCGGCGCTTTCATCTGATCTGCGCCACTCACACAGTCGCCGTCGCCCTTTCCTCCATGTCTCTCGTATAGGAGGCTGGATCGTAAGCTGGTGGAAATCCAGATCGGAAAGTTTGCCAACAAGGAGACTCAGCTGGAGATAATGCACTCGCTTCGCGACCGAGATGTCTATATCTTGCAGACAGGAGGGATCATGTAAGATATTCACGAAGGGATCATGCAAGGATCATGTAAGATATTAACGGAGGGATCTAAAGATATGACCGGTGGGAATATGTAGGATATGCCCGGCGGGGTCCCATAAGGATAAACGGGAGCTTGTGATCGTTCTCGGGAAGTAAAATGAAAGTTCCAACAGCTATTTCAAAGTTTTGCCGAGCTTGGAGTGATAACGTTGGGAAATTCGTCCACGTTTATTTCGGAGTGTGGGGAGTGCTGGGAGTCATTGTCCTTCCTTCACGTCATAGTTTACCATACTGATCGGTTCTTTCATCATTGTGGCTGCTACGCTATTCGGTGTTTAAATGTTGCTCTCATCGCTTTTTTCGGCACGTTTGGTCAATTTACTGTTATGATGTGCTTGGCTCTGCTCGTTACAACATTGCTCTTCTGGACTTTGAGCATTGATGCCCGAGCTTACTTAGTTCACCATTCGCGGTATGAATGTTTTGTTTTGTTTTCTTGTTCAGGCGCAGTGTGCTTGGTTAAATCTGTGCTGCAATTTAGGATAAACGCATTATATTGCTCATTTTTCGCGAAAGGGACGGTTTAACGTTTCCTCTTCGCTACATTGCTAGTATTTGCTGCCTAAATGTGCATCGACCGTTGGCCGTGAGGCAGCTTTGAGTGCACTAACGGGATTTTATGGATGGACTAATGCTTAATCAATTATTTTGGCTTTTCGAAGAGCATAGTGAGTTTGATTGAGTAAGTTGACGGGCAACTTTATCTGAAGCTATATACTACCATGGGGGGTTAGGCAGCTCATAACTGGCGATGAATGATGCCAGGAGCTGCGGCATCTCATGATTTCTAACAAAGCCCTTTCAACTTAGGTAATAAGTATGCTAAGGTCCCTAACTTGTGCTCGTTTTTAGACGGCGTGCGATTCAGCTGTCTCTTCTGGTAAAGATGTCCAATTCTGAATTCACGTGCTGAGGAATCGTAACCCTCTTAGCAAATTGCACAATAGACTTTTTCTCTCTAGTCTACCGCTTCAATAAGCTTGATAGAGCAGTTGGCATGACTGTATTTGAGACTAAATTAGTGATTCACTCCGATCCCAGCTCGCAACTCTGGTTTGTCATGTAGTTCACGACTTGACCGCCTCCTAATTCTGTGGTTGATACTGTCGTAGATTTCGTGGTCGAACTGCATGAAGCGGGCCGTGATCATGATGCGCACTGCGCAGTCTCCATTGACCGGATGTAGCTCATGAGCGTCAATTCGGGCATTGCTCGGCTGCAAGTGGCGCCCGTGTTCAGGGTGACCCCTACCGCCCAAGGGCGGCTCAAGGGAATGGCAACGGGTCTCATCGTTCAAATTACGGTTATAGCAAGTTAGAGCTAAATGAGGGATAATTGCTGACCTCAGCATATGGGTTCTCGATATGTGTTCACTGGGTTCCTCATTTAGGTAGGATTGCATCTGCTTTGTAACGATCCGTTCTCTATCGATCGATCGTTTAATTAGCTTTCAGATAAGATACCAAATTTAATTAGTCCATCATCTCCTTAGATTACTGATTGATCGTGGCAAAAGGTTGACTAAATCGCGCGCAGTGGGGCAGGGTTACCGGACGGCTTTGGCGGGGCTCTTTGAAATGATTTTGCATTAGCGCGTAAAATTAGCATGGCATCGAGGGTATCACATATCGTGTGCTAATTGTCACAATCTTTAGGCCTACGTCTAGTATTGTCATATCACTTGTCATCGAATAAATCGTAAAAATATTTTGCAGTATAGTTATTAGAAGTACCAATAAATATCAGTCATCATTCACCATAACACACCATAAGTCATCGCCAAAACATTCTAGCGTCTTACTTCAAGCAAAACACTCTCTCACCGTGTATTCCCCCCCTCTCCCCCACTTTGCGCTCTCCTTGACAACAGGGACGTCAACAACTCCATCATGGAGCTGCTGGTGATGGCGTACGCCTGCAAGACGTCCTCAGCTCGCAACATCATCGGCGTGATCCCCTACCTGCCCTACAGCAAGCAGTCCAAGATGCGGAAACGGGGCTGCATCGTCTCCAAACTGCTCGCCAAGATGATGTGTGAGTGAAGGAGAAGGACAGTTGGCTAGAGGGAGGGACAGATGGATAGAGGGAGGAGAGAGGGAAAGAGAGAGCCGGTGCTCTGACGTCTGCCAGTTGTTGAGCAAACTGATTTGTTGAGTTGTAGCAAACTGAGTGCTACTTTGCTACGTCGTTGTTCACTGTCGTGCTTTGGTACTCTCGTAAAGTGATTATAACTGGTAATAGCTAATCACGTATGGCTACTTACGAGAACATTTATCGAAGCTGGACAGGGCTTCTTACATATGTATGGCTGTATTTGCAAGGGGCTCTTCAGTGCCCTACTAGGGCCTATGCATAGTTTAAGAAGCTTGATTATTGCTTGACGACTGATTTGCTTGTTGTAGGCAAAGCGGGCCTGACGCACATCATCACCATGGACCTCCATCAGAAAGAGATCCAGGGATTTTTCGACTGCCCCGTGGATAATCTGAGGGCGTCGCCGTTCCTGCTCAACTATATCGTCGAACAGGTACGAACCGGGAAGAGGGCATAAGAAGGGAGAGGAAAGAAGGAGAAGGGAGAAGTGCTAGAGTGAAAAGGAGAGAAAACACTGAGATCAGGGAATAGAAGGATGTGTAACATTGTCAGAGCTTGTACGACCGAATCTTGCCCACCTTACAATGACCTGACCTGACACCGGCAGATCCCCGACTACCGCAACTCCGTGATTGTGGCCAAGGACCCGGCCTCCTGTAAGAGGGCCACATCGTACGCCGAGAGACTTCGCGTCGGTAAGTTCTAACAGGCCTCGTGTGAGGCGAGAGGAGCGAGGGGGCAGGAGTTGTTGCAACGCGAAACTGGCGCATTATTTCAGTTGGGCGTTGGCTTGCATTTATTGCTTACTATGCAATAAATGCGAAACGCCGAGCAGTGCTTAATTTCCTCTTATAACCTTTAATCAAAGTTTTAAACACATGAATATTTAGTCTGAAGGCCTCCCAAATCACTCAACATTTTTATCAATTTCATATACTTTATTAGATGGATAAGTATATGCTTGTCTCAGAGGCTCTTTTTTTAGGCTCACCCACTTTACCCTCCTCTCCCTCCCTTCTCTTCCCCCTCTCCCTCTAGGAATTGCCGTCATCCACGGCGAGGCGAAGACGCGTTTCGATGACGACTACGAGGACGCGGACGAAGACGGCGATGACGGCCGGACGTCACCGCCGCCGCTGCCGGCCAGGCAGCAGGGCCGCCTGCACTCGTCCGTCTCCATGTCGGTAGGTGTGGAGAGTTGGAGAGAGTGGAGAGAGTGGAGAGAGGGAGAGAGAGAGAGTGGGGGATGTGCCATGTATCGATGCGGTAAAATTATGTATGGCAGCTGTGGCATTGAGTGGGCGCGTAGGTGTCTGTTTGATGTTCTGTGGCTGAATGTTCGATGTTTGTGAAATTCGGGAGAGAAGTTGGTACAGAGGCAACCTTTCGGTACCGAGGACGTTATTGATTAAACCAATGCATTTTTACGTTGAATGTGATGTGAATTTCGACGGCCACTTCTTGTGGCCCATCATCTTCTCGAGTCGTTTCTGTACCGTTGGGTTTGCAACTGTTCCTGCGTAGTATACTCGTAAGCAGCTTATCCCCGTGAATCTGCCATATCTTTGTCCTCGTGATAGACTGAGTCCCGTCCTGTTAATATCTCCCTCTTTTCAGTTGTTACCCCCTCCGTCCGCGCGCTGTTCTGGTCTCCATTGCTTTGCTCTGGTGTTGTGTTTCCGTTCCGTTTTACTATGTTTATGCGCTCTGGGATGTCCTGTCCCATGGGTGTGGGTGTCCTGTCCTAACCTAATCTGTTTCTGGAGGGGAGCTGGTACTCCGCATCGTTCCTACTCAGGCCTGAAGGCAGTTGGGTGGCGGACAGAACGCTCTTCCAGCTGTTATGTGATTTAACCATGCCTGACCGAAACTTACTTATGGCTCTTCTTCCCACCTGTGTGCGCACAAGGCGTGCTCCTCCGTGCTCTTAAGGGCAGACAAGATGGATCGGGTATTACAATTAATGACCTGACATAGCATAAAAACGGCCAGCGCCCATTGTGTATTTTATTTTTCTCTTACCAGTTCCACGCAGTCTTATCCAACAAAACCCTTTCCTCTACTGAGAGATCTTTTGGTATCCATATCCCTCCTCCCCACCGCGCTGGGTCCATGCTTAACTATTTCCTGATCCACGGTCCACCTTACACTGTCTTACCATCTGCCCTCCCCATTTCCCACCTTACCCTCGCCGTGCCCCAGTCGGCCTTAGCCTAGCCGTACGAACGGACTCTCCGGTCGCCGATGCCCCCATATCACCGCGCTGACCGCCGCCGGCGCCCGCCGCTGCACCCCAGTCGTTTATGGAGCGCTCCGAGCCTGGTGCCGAGCCCGGCCCCGTCACGGCCGCTGCCGCCGCCGCCGCCGCCCTGCGCCGCGGCCGCCCCCGCCTCCGCTCAGCGGCCTCCGTCTGCTTCGTGAGTAGCCGCCCCCGCCCCCGCCCCTGCCAGAGAGGGGACCGCCCACCGCCGCTCGCTGGTTCCGCGGTGGCATCGGCGGCGGCGGATGTTGAGAAAAGTCTAATGTGATGTTATGATCTTAATTTATGTGATATTATGCCAGTTTAGGACGAGCTTATTAAGAAAACAGATAATGCAGGCAGCTGGGTCTTTTTGACATGGTACTAGTTATATGTGGTGTAGAAGCTATCCATTAAAATTGAGGCTAGTAGTTTCGATTACGATGTGACATTACGATGTGTTCATGACCAAAGGCATATCTAGTTGTGTGTAGAAGGACGTTCCAAGGGGTCTGCGAACTAACAAACACTAACACATGCGTCGGAAGTAGTGGAAGCGTGGCAATCGGGCAAAAAGGTTGCTCATTTAAGTTTGTCAGGAAGCGGCTAGCCTCTAGAATCGTAAAAAAACTTCGGGCGGTCTGTTTCATTAAAGGGCAATAACCCTCTCGGATGCTTGGCCCTTGCTTTCATCGTTTGGACAAAGGCGTTATTTGGTCGCTAGCACACGAGTTTTGTGAGCTGCTTGGGGTTGTGATTACCAGGGAGTCACTCTCGTTGCTTTCTGGTTTGCCAAGTTGCTGAGTTTCTGGATTGCTGAGTTGCTCTTTGGCATGAGCTGGGCAGGAGCGGCAGAACGGTTTGGTGTGATCTTCGGCACAGAAAGGGGGAGGGAGAGCGGTCCGCGGATGGCCCCTAGTGCTCCAACTACGCTACTAACCGTTCGGTAGGCGGTGTTCGCGGTAGTTTCTAGCATATGACTAACACATAAAATGTTTCACGACTAGGACGAAGGCTTGGCTACGAGATCGACTGGGCTACTTCCAAGCGGCTTTGCGATGATAAGGACAAACGTTCGGTTTAGAGAATATATGAACGCTTTTGGTTTGTATAAGGCCAGTGCAATTTTCTGTCCTAAATTGAATATTGTCTACGCTTAAATAGAAACTGTTGGTAAATAGCTCAGCTTTTTAGCTGTCGTACTCCTTTATGTATTTTGATCCGACATATAGAACTCTGGCGTATATTTTGAAAATAAGGTTGATATAGTCGTGCTCTTCTTATATATCCGTACAATGGGCGCAGTTTGACGTACTAATCTGAAGCAGTCGGGAAACATATCGCATCCCGATCCTCAGACTGCTCCTTGTTTCATCAATCATGCTTCCGTGCTCTTTCATCGGCTTCCATCCATTTCTAACTAACCTTACGCCACCCTAAACTGGCAACCCTGGACCACTGAGCCGTAGCTTCGTACGTGGAGGCGGATTTAGTTGAAGTTCTAACATGCTTTTGGTTCTTTGGTTGTTTGCTTTTATTCAGTTGATCGTTTGGCACGTTTGGACCTTATTTCTTCGGCTTTTGTTTGCTGTGGGGCGTGGGAATTGGGCATTTATTATGTGGCATGGCCGTCGGACAATTTGACGTATTTTATCTACACTAAGGTAATGTGTGCTATGATGAGCCATAATGGATTGTGTGTGATTTTGCGTTTGTCTTTTTACGGAGCGAGCGAAGCGAGCGGAGTCTTTCTTATACTGGTTATATTGTGTTCATGTGATTGCAGATTGCATAAAAAGTGACATATTGCCTATGGTGACGGGTTTGTTTCCAAGTTTGACGTGTGACTTTTTCAAAGTCGGCGATCATCATCATGTATAGTGATAAAATGATTACTGTCTGATGTAATATCGTTCACAGGGTTCAGCCGCAATGTGACTTCCCCTCAGGTCATGGAGCTTACCTTAAACATTGTACCGGTCCTGCATGCATGTAATCGCGCACCTCGTGTGTCTTCACTAATTAACCGAGCCCTTCTGCTTTCTCACATATCGTCTCCCTTCGCTCCAATATCGACTCGTCTGTGACCTCCCCCGGGTCCGGCAGGGCGAGGTGGACCCGTCCCGCATCATGTCGGTTGGAGTGACCGGCGTACCGATGCAGGCGGCCAAGGAGAAGCCGCCCATCTCCGTGGTCGGCGACGTCGGCGGCAGGATCGCCATCATGGTGGTGAGTGTGATTCCGTCTGTGGGAGTAATGAAGTCATGCGGGTTGACTGTTGAACTCTTGAATGAGCCTCGTCACGACGTGTCTTCAGAATGGGATCGTGCAAGGGCAGATGTGATCGAGTCAGGTCAAGTGTGAGGGAAATCAACAGCGTGGGATTAAGCTTAAAATTAACACGAGGGCTGATGCTACTAGAGTATTATGGCGTATTCGAGATGAGTTAAGAACGTTTTGTGATTTTTCTATAAGGTGGTTAAAGACTAAGACAACTCCTCCTGCGGTAATTTCAATTTTCACTGAGGGGAACTTAGTTGCCCTCGTTTTTTTTTTTTACTGAGTTCGCTCTAACCGCTGTTTCCTTCTTCGCAGGATGACATGATCGACGATGTGCGCTCGTTTGTGGCCGCCGCTGAGATGCTGAAGGAGCGTGGCGCTTACAAGATCTACGTGATGGCCACGCACGGGCTGTTGTCGGCCGACGCGCCGCGTCTCATCGAGGAGTCGGCCATTGATGAGGTGAGACCGTGGCGCCACCTATACATGGTGGAGTTGACGGGCAGAGACATCTGCAGGAGTGTCGTATTATGTCATATCGCCGCAACGTTTTGCTACTCGTTTTGTTGCTCCCAGCTAAAAATTGTAAAGAATCAAATAATTGTGGGGTACTACTGTCTCAATGTGACAGAAGAGTAAGTTTTTGTTATTACCGTCTTGTATCATTTCACTTGTGCTGCCTTTGACATTGCGAACGTACATCTCGCTGACTTAGATATTATTTTGTCATCAGCCGACTCAGAATAAAGTTTCACATTGTGAACCGTAATTACCACGCCCTGCCTAGCCCCCTGGCTCTGACACCCTCCCCTTCCTTCCCCGGCAGGTGGTGGTGACCAACACGGTGCCGCACGACGTCCAGAAGATACACTGCCACAAAATCAAAACGGTCGACGTCAGCATCCTGCTCTCGGAGGCCATCAGACGTCTGCACAACAAGGAGAGTCTCAGCTATCTGTTCAGGAACATCACCATGGAGGATTAGATACGCAGGATAGCGAGGGCGATTGAAAAAGAGGGGATAGGGGTGTGAGATAGGGGGGAGGAAGAAGAGAAATGTGAGGACTTGTCTGCTAATGGAAATTGACGAGCGCAGGGAAATGAGGGAAAGGAAGGTAGCGAGAGAGTAAAAAAAGGAGAAGAGTGGAGGGCATGACGATGAGATGAGACGATGAGAATCGTACGTGAGAGAGTGGTAGAGAGGGCAGGAGAGATCGCGAGAGGGTATTCGATATTCGTTTGAAGAGAATATGGCTGTCACGCTATCTGTGTAACTGGAGAAAATGAAAAGACTGTTGTATTTGTGCGCGGCTAGCGGTATGTCGGGGTAAGACTAGGGGACGTAGCCAGATTTGACAATTGTCGCTCACAGTTTAAAGTGCCGAATTCTAGACTTCACGCTAAGTATACGATCTTAAATATCGAATACTAAATTCCTCAGAGTACTGAGCCTTTCAGAGATCAAAATTCAACCGTCAAGTGCCAGTAAAAAAAAAGTTTATCGAGTTGCATGCGAACATTCATTTTTGGGAAATATCGACCCTAGTTGACTCGTTATGATATGATCGAAAGGTAGTAGGACCCGATAAAACGAGCCCGTTGGAGTACTGGAACTCGGCCAGGTGTTAGCAGGTGTAGGTGGAATCCCGTGAGAATCCAATGGGATAGACTGGACTCCATGAGAGTCCTGTAGGGTTAGTGGGACTTCGCTAGGATCCAGTGGGATTAGTAGGACTCCTGGATCGATGGGATCATCACCTGTCTCGCGGGTTTGTAACAGCACTCGGTCCTCTGATTGGAAAGAACCATTGACATGTAGCGACGTCCTATGCAATAGGCGAGCAGGGAGGCGAACAACGACCACCGCCAGTTCTAACCGCGAACGGTGCCATATTTTGGCGACAAATTGTGTCAGTAAATTTCAATGCAAGGCTGTTTTGCGGGAGGCTGATGGTTGATAATGAGGTAGTGCCATTATTGACAATATTCCTGATATTTTTATGTCGGGCATCAGTGAAACTGTGGTTATTTGTGACGATGTCGTACGCGTACGTTGTCTGGGTAAATGCGTTAGGTTAGATGCACGCGTATTATGTTACATGTACTCTCTCACCATTTGCCTAACTTTTGTTACATTTGATTATCTGTCTACGGGGTACTGTGTCTGTATCGGTAGCTTAGTGACAACGTGTAATCGTTCTGTGTTCTTTATAACCGTACTAGCGGACAGACATACGCTTGGAAGTCATAGAACTGCTTAGTTTCTGTGCACTGGCGATTCGACGCCGAGCAAAAATGCCGCATGTTATTTCTCTTCGTGTCTTGTTTCCGCCATGGTATATCTTACTAATAAATGTAGAATTTCTATTTTGCGTGTCGAAGTGTCGAAGAGAGCGATCCTAGGTGGTCTTAGGGTAATGAATAGCGATCCCTTGCAGTCGAGATAATTGGATAGCACTACCGCTCCAATTTCACTGATGGTATGGCCACGGAATATTTAGACTACGACATAATCTAATACATAGTCTGTCGTATACTATATATTCCGTGGTATGGCTCAGTCACTGATGACGCCTGTTGTGCACTCAGTCACTTTCTTCAGGATCAGCTAGAGCAAATGTTGAAGTGAAGATAAAACTAGCACTGCTTTGGCAACTTCCTTCGTTACTTCCATTCTGTTAAAACGCAATTTACAGTGGTGGAGCACCCCTGCTCCAGTTGTTACCATAGCAACCAGTCTAGCTGGTTCGTTGAGGTCGGCAGGTCGCTGGTAGCCCATGTCGATTTGGTCGGTGCTAAATTTGCCTGCGATTTATCGATTTATTAGTCAATACAGATGGAACGTGTTGTTAGTCGAACAAAGGCTGTGATACAAGTGTGAATTAGGCGTAGGCATCAATTTGACGATTCACCGTAAGATACAAGACATCAACGCTGGTTGGATAAGGTTAAACGACAGCTAATCGTCTTCAGAGGACCAATTTAGTGCAAAGGTGAGCGATCTTGATGCATTTAGATTCGGGGTGTCTGTATTTGTTATCTGCCTTGTTCGGGAAACATGGCACCCACTTTGCGCATCTTTCCGTTTCCCATTTTTTGCTACGTTTCAGTGCGACTTCCATCATTGTTGGTAGTGAGGATGAACATGTAATTTTTTTATTTCATTCCTAAGTATCTAATGTGTGTCAATCGAGAGTCAACTCATATATCAATGTCATTGCCATCAATAAGCTCGCCCCTAACACTTCCCCAACCATTACCCCATCCATCACCTCACCACCGCTCTAACGCATGCCTCCCGCTCTTTCCCGTGGGCAGATGGCGCGCAAACGCGACATGATCCAGATCCAGACGGAGGTGAGCACCCAGGAGGAGTGGGAGCAGGAGATCGCCAAGCCGGGCCTCACCGTGGTCGACGTGTACCCCGACTGGTGCGGACCCTGCTCCTCCATGGTTGGCATGCTGAAAAAGGTTAGTCTCGACACGCCACTAGACCCCGCACCAAAAGACAAAAAACCTTCGTTCAGCGTTCTTTATTTGATTTTTTTTTTAATAACAAATGACAATGACCCTGTAAAGGTATCATACAGGAGGCGTCTAGAAGCCATCCGACAACCACACCAAACGAATAAACAATAAAAAAAAGTCAGGAATAGGATCACAGATAACGAATCTCAAAATGATATTGGTGTTGGTATGGTTGGTGATGGCGGCGATGATTATCTCTTTACTTCCCTCCATCCTCTCTCACTCGCTCTCTCCCTCTCCACTCCACCCCCTAGATCAAGTTCGAGCTCGGTGACGACATGCTCAACTACGTGATCGCCCGTTCTGACGACATCGAGGCCCTGGAGACTTTCCGCAATCGCAGCGAGCCGCTGTGGATCTTCTTCGGCTCCGGCCAGCCGGTGTACCAGCTCCGGGGAGCCCACTCGCCGCTGCTCGCCAGGAAGATAGTCGAGGAACTGGAGAAGGAGAAAAAGGTGAGAATGGGGAGGGGAGTGAGGGGTGTAGGAGTGGGGAAGGGATGATGGAAAATGGATGGAGATTGGAGCTCTATAGCCTTCATTAGCGGACTTCTTTTAGCGGAGAGGAGTTGAGGGAGTGGGAAAGATAACATAGCTAAAACTAAATATTTTGCATCATCCTAGATCCTTGCCAAGCATATGATGAATACCCTGACGTGTCAAATATCAATGCCGCACCGTATCATATCAAAGGCTTTGTATCGTTAGGTGATGTACCATACCGTACCATAATATACCCACCGTGCGGTACCGCATCTTGTGGTGCCGTAATCGGCGTCTCCTAGTGTGCGGTGCGATTCATTGCCCTGTCCTTCCGTGCCTTGTCCCTGACTTCATCCGTCGCTCGTCACCCTCTGCTCCACCGCCCAGGTGTTAGCCGGCGAGGCCGAGCGTTCCGTCATCTCTCTCGTCTGCGACGCGCCGGCGGCCGTCCAGCTGCCGCCCGAAGTCGTCGCCGCCGGTGCCGATGACGACGAGGCAGCCGAGACTCTGAACGCTCGACGGTTGAGGTCGGAGGCGCGCGTGGCCCGCGCTCTGGCACCGTACAGTGTGCTGGTGGTGGCGCCGGCGGCCGCAGACAGGTTGGTGGGAGGGGGAGGGAGGGTATGGTAGGGAAGTGGAATGGAGAGAGAGAGAGAGGGAGGAAGAGAGAGAGAGAGAGAGAGAGAGAGTGAAAGAGAAAGAGAGAGAGAGAAAGAGAGGGAGAGAGAAATGAGAGCAGACAGACACGCACAGACGGACGGATGAACAGACAGAAGAGTGCTGCAGTGAATCAATGGTGCGCAGGCATGCCAGCAGCATCATAGCATGTTTCAACTCTGACAAACATTTGAATCACCATATCCAACAAAGCCCTTCTATGTCCTTGCGATACACCCTGTGACCCATAGGCAACAGGACAATAGGTACAATACGCTTACGCTTCTGTCCCAGACGAGAGGAGGTCCTCTCCCTTCTGGAGTCCCACGGCTTCACCATCGGCGCGGAGGTGACGAAGGAGCTGACCGAAGAGGAGGTGGACGCCCTGGTGGACCCACCACCACCACCACCACCGCCGGCGGCGGCTCCGGCGGCTGAGGAGGAGGGGGAGGGAGAGAAAGGTTAGTGAAGCGGGGTGGGTGACGGGTTGTCGGGTAGGTTTCATGGAGAAGAGTTTGGTTCTGTTCTAGCTGCAGCATAAATTACGCATTTAACGCGTAAATTATGAAGCATTTGACTATTTAGCGCTTAAATTATAACATCGCAGAAAACTACAGCCAACGAATCGCTTATAAAATGCGACTTATCGACGACGGCACTCTTGCAGCAATACCGTACTGTGTAGCGTTTTGCTCTCATTTTCATTACGATAGTAATTCTATATTTTCTCTACATACAGCATCTTACTTTGCCCCCTCCCTCTCCCCCCTATTCGCTAGCCGCCGAGGGAGAAGAGCCGGCTGCTGCAGAGGGAGAAGAGCCGGCCCCGGCAGAGGTAGAGGAGCCCGCTCCGGCAGAGGAGACGGAGGGAGGTAGCGCCGGCGCAGAGGAGACCGGAGAGACAGAGCAGCAGGAGGAAGGAGGGGAGGAGGACCCGGAGGTTGCGGCTCGCAGGGAGGCGGCCAAAGAGAAACTGAAGGAGGGAGAGGTGAGGTCAAGAGAGCGGCCAGAGAGACGGGGGGATATAACAGGGAGCTTGCGTGACAACGGAGACCGGGATATGGGACAACGGAGTCTACAACATAGTGCTGCGTAAAGACGGACTGATAGCTCATTAGGCCGGACGAATGATCAACAATGAACATGAATTGTGCCTGGTTTGATGAGACAAAAAATCAAATCTGCGTCGATGGTGGATCGGTCATTTGTGCCCCGTCATAAGGGATCTGCTAGCGCCGCAAGTTGCTCAAAATCTCTCGAAATAGGTAGTGTCCTTCGGTAACTTTTTGTTTGCGCTGCTCGTCCATTAAGCAAAGTGCGCCTTTGATTTGTCATCATCGTGTTCTCACCTCTTTTTCGGTTCCTCTCTTACCAACAGTGTGCTCTTCTGGCGCTAAAAGACTCCGAATTCAGCGAGCAGAATCCCTACCGCTGGCTGACGCTCTACCTCGGCCACGCACCAGCGCCGCCACCCGACTCCGGCGCCGAACCTGTAGTTCCACCACCGGCCGCCGGAGGGCAGCAGGAGGACGGCGACTCCCCACCAGACACCGAAGCGGCAGCAGAACCCGAGCCAGAGCCTGAAGCGGACGAATCCCAACCACCACCGGAACCAGAGTCGGCACTGGCGGATCAGCTTCGAGAACTTCTCGTGGAGGCCGCTCCTGCGGTGTTCAGCCCTGAGACTGTCCCCGGTCAGCAGGCGGCCCTGAGGAGGCATTTCCCGGAGCTGTACCGGGCGCCGGAGCCGGCCCCAGCCGCCGCGTCAGCCGAGCCGTCTCCGCCAGCCAGCCGACAGGTGGCGCTGGCGGTGTTCGCTGGAGATCGAGAGGACGTGGCGGAGAAGCTGAACGAGGCCGGGTTCGCGGTGCTGCACTCGGGAGTGGGAGAGATGACAGAGGAGGTAGGTATAGGGGTGAGGGATAGGTCAGCACCGGGAATAGTGTTCAGAAAAAGGGGAGGGGGAAAGTGAAAAGAGGTTTAAGAGGTAGTTGGTGGGGGCCACAGCGAACAGTTAGCCTGGCTGGCGGTCAATGATTGCCAGTCTTTCTTGAGACGGCAGGCAGGTAGTGATTTCACTATTTCCCCACCAGGTAGCAGGCGGGTGATTATTTCCCCATTTTACCGCCAGGTGGCAGGCAGGTCAGGTGGATAGTTCCTCATTCTCCCGCCAGGTGGCAGGCAGGTGGGTTCTTTTCTTACCTCTCCGTTGTCCCGCCAGGTGGCAGGTCAGCTGGTGGCCCGTCTGGAGGGAGGCGACAGTCAGCTTCCGGCGCTGGTGGCGACACCTGTGCTGGCGGCGGCAGTAGCCTCCGACGGTGGCGCCGCCCTGGCGGCCATCGCCAACCTGGATCCGCTCTACCTCTCCGACAATCCGGGTGAGTGCGAACCGGAGGTGAAGCACGAACATATTTTCCCATCTCTGGGAAGAGAGAGGAGCACTAAGAAGAAATACTTGTCTACCAGTGCTTATTTGGATAGAGGGACGCCTTGTGACCGACGTTCCCCTTTGTTTGCATTACAGAGCAGGCAGAGAAGGACGCTCAGCTAATTTTCTCCTCCTGGGGAGTGGACATCGGCTCCCTGCTCGTGGACGGCGCAGGAGGAGGCGAAGGGGGCGAAACTCTGGCAGAAGGAGCCGAGACGGCGCCGGAGGGAGAAGCAGACACAAAGACAGAGGGAGGGGAGGGAGAGGCAGAAGGAGGAGCGGAGGAAGGAGCGGGAGGAGGTGAGACAGTGGCGGAAGGTGAGGGAGAGGCGGAGGGCGCAGCGGCGCAGGACGCGGCTCCCGAGGATACTCCCGCTGAGGAAGCGCCCGCTGAAGATGCACCTGCTGCTGAGGAGGCTCCGGCCGCCGAGGAAACGCCAGCGGAATAGGTGGCGCTGGCGAATGGTTATAGGTGGCACTGTTGTTCCAAAACGGTGACACTGTTGGTTGGCATTTAAAATACCCAAACGGCTAGTCATGCTGAAAGTGGTATATTCGATGCTACTCGAAGATATGTGTATATGCGAGTGCGGTGTAGCCAGTGCAAGACCAGTCACCAACGATGTCGGAAAACTCCTTCAGCTTTACTTTTATCCGAATGCGATTCACATGGTCGGAATAAAGTTCATACAAGGGAAGCGGTATAAAGAAAAACCGCGAAATAAAATGGCTCGACTGTTATCAATCTAGTTCTGATAGCAAAAAAGCACAAAGTGGATCCAAGTGGATCTTCTAGATAAGATACATATTTACATAGCAGATACATATTCGCATTTTTTTCCTAACAATCGGGATGGTTACAATATTGTCACTCGGCGCAAGTTTTACGAAGCTAATCCGGTCATCTATAATTCAGCTCATTATCTAATCATCATGTTGATGATATTGGACATGCTAGGAAAATAAATGCACCACTACCTTCCAACAAATCGTTTGTCTAAAATCGTTATAAAACCGTTAGTCGTAAGTATAAATCGTAAATCATCAATCGTCGTCGAATGCGTAAATTGTCTGATGCTTTGCTTAAGTATCTTTCTCAAGAGTTAGCATACAAACTGCCAGGGCCAGTAAATACTAACTAGTAGGTACAGCCTGTCAGAATAACAGCAAACGATTTAATACGCGATTTGTATTTTATTATCGATTAACGATCATCACAGAAGAATGCTTTTAGACTAACGATTTGAGAAAGATAATTGCTGCATATATTTTCATTATCCCTCTCTTAGCCAGGATGACATCAGTCTGATAAGTGTGTCTAAAAAGAAAAGGATAATCACCGATGTGTGCTCAGATTTGAAGAACAGACAAATCGTTGGCGAAAGTTACTTTATTTGAAAGTCATCCACGAAATTTGTCGACCACGCGAAAAAAAAACGACCGCTGGTGTGAAAAATGATAAGGACATGCCCAAATAATATTTGTACATCAGCTTTATTCACTTCGTGGTTGGCAACTTTTCTGAAAAAAATAACCTCAGTGGGCGATTTATATGATGGTAGAACTAGCCTCCGACCTTACAACATTCTGTCTCTTGAGTTATTCGCCGCTAGTCACGCGAAGATTCACAAAATGTAGGATTTTTATGGTTAGGTACATTTTAGACAAGATAAAAAACCTGTTATTTTCTATCGACAGTCTTTGAATGTCCAACGACATCGTTGAGCGCGGGGTAAGAAGAGTTCAGCCTGATGTCACCCTGTTGCCCGATGTCCGGCACGTGGAGCCGGAGGGATACGGCGGACATCGCCCTGGAGAGTCGTCACTTGCCGGCAGAGTGTCTGATGAAATAACGTTCATTAATGCGACACATTTAATCGTGCCTCGAAACCGCGGTTATCGCAAACTCTTGCCGGTGTCTAACGACTGTCCAGAACCCATGATACCCTAAGCATTGGTATCATGGCCTACCTACCTATCTAGCGTTGTGTCTACATACCTGCCTAATTAATTGCCTAATTACCTGACTGATGATATTAAAGGATCCAATTTCCCTGAATAATACTCATTTATCTTCATTTGATGTTCACATCTTTAAAAGTATTTGCATGATTTAGTTACTTCAACCGAAATTTTATTTAACTTTTCATATCATCGTTAGACCAAAGTAACTATTTATGCAGTCAAGTATTTATGCAATCAAAGATGTAAATAGACATCGTAAACGTAATGCCAAACTACTCAAAACAGCACTATCTCATTGGACCTCACAGAAATTTATAAACAACGTTGACCATGGCTTCCGCCTATTGAAGCATTTAGGAGAAAAACAGTAGGTACCTAATGCAATTCGGTATAAAAAGATAATAGAAAGCTAACTCATATACTAAGAAATGAGATTTCTACCATTATCTTTGTGTATTTGATCTTTTTCATTTTTTATGTTTGGCAAACTCACGTCACGTAGTCTCATCGTAATAAAAAGGGCCAGATAGCTTCAAACGTAGTCCACTTTCAAGAAAATAAGTACGAAATAATGATCAACCAAGCTGAGCCGTACGTGGAACGACCACGCCTATGTACATACCTAAACATGCAGATTATCTGAAGGCACATTTGAATATGATTAACTTGATCGTCCGTGAAATCAGTACTTATCCAATATGATCAAAATTGAAACCAGGCTTACGATTAATTCAATAACTTCACGGCCAATAATAGTGCTACAATCCATACTAACTTTAATTAGTCCAAAAAAACTAAACGCAAATCAGTGATGCACACAAAGATGCACACAAAGACGATGCACATAAATATACGAACCTTTTTCTCACCTAACATCAGAATATTGATTCGATCTTGATAAAGGTTACCATTTCACTGAACACTAAAAAATGGTCGCGGCTTAAAAGTAACCATTAAATGTTTTAAAAACAATTTAGTGATTTAAACTCGCCTGCAGAACCGATTATTCATGTTTGCAAAAATGCGCGAGCGCAAAACGGGTGCAAAGCGTGAAATCCGTATCAAATCCGTATTAAAATTAAATCCGTGCAACACAGGAAAATATGCGCAAAAAAAACAGCCCGCCCATCGACATTTTTCCACTGATAAATTGATAGTAGGTCTTTGTGCATCTAGCCACAGACCCCTTTCCATCTGCATGAAGTGTGATCTATTGAAATAAATGTGAAATGGTCAAGATCTTATGCACGGTTAGTCAATATTCCGTCGTTATAAATTAATTTTGAATAATAAAGACATTTAAACTCATGTTGTTTCTGTGCTATTGTTATATCCATGTGAATATCTGTAGCACGATAAGCTGGTAAATAAATAGCTATGATATATAGGTACACAAAACCTAGGGATCAATGCAATAATAAGGATACAATGGGTTAGCACACGAATCAACACATATACAAAGAAATAAAAAACACAGTTCTTACATCAACCTATAGGTATCTAGACGATTTCGGACAGCGATGAGCTTCATTTGTGGTAGAGCCATCCGTTGGCTGAGACACTAACCTATTGTTAGCTCACTGCTCAATGCTCAGCAAACATGCATTTCCCAGAATTGTTTACACTTTCAACAGCCTTGGGCTTTAGCTGAGCCTTAGCATTCACGCGGACATGTTTAAGCGAACATGTTTTGTTTTTGTTCAAGTCCGTAAATAGATACTTACCAATACTTACCAGCATAAAATGGACAAGAGGTAACGCCAGCCTAACGCGTCACAATGAAATTACCAATCAAGGAAATTAATTTAAGAACAGCGCCTAAAATACCAGGCAACTTTTGACTGAGTCACACCAGAGCTCTTAGAATCCATGAATTTGTTCGGAATAAAATGTTCTCTCTCTTCCCATTGATGAGCCTATAAAGCGATGAAATAGCAATTGCACTATGCAGCTGTACAAATTCAATTACTGGACTGTTGGTAGCCTACAGAGCTCTTGAAATCATCATTAAGATAACTCAAATAACATCAGTAACTTTAAAGAGTCAACACAAATTGTCGATACCTACGACTTACAATATCTAATTGCTCCGTATATCCATGCCTACGTCAATTTCTAACGCAACGAGCGGAGAATGATGGCACATGAAACGATAAAACATAGAAAATTGTCTTACCAGTTACCATGTAGAACTGTCTCACCATGCGTGTGCCCAATGTCGTCCAGCCTTGCTCAAGATCACACACTCCATAAATCAACCGCAGCAAAAATTGATCTAAAAAATAAATATGCGCAAAATGACTGCGTTGAAGTGTACCGGTGCGCAAAATAACCGATGTCAAACGTCTCAGATGGCTCATCCGTGCGTGAAAATACAAAACTTCTCCGAAAAACTGACGGTTAAAAGAAAAAAAAAGCGGAATCAACCGACGCTTTTAATAAGGCATCACTTAGACAAAATATGCCTTTGCGAGTATGCGAATTGCTGTGTGTGTTTCCGTGTTGAAGTACGAGCATGTTGACATATATAGCTTCGTTATACATGTAAAGAGCCCTATACAGTTGTCTATGGATATCAACTAAAGATTTATATAACATCTACATACAAAATGCTTCAAAAATGACGCATTCGGTCTTCGTCGTTTTATGTCTTCTGTATTTATTTGCGTATTAATAAAAAATAGTTTTTTTATACAGCAACTGATACTGTCGTTCTATGATGTTATACCTACTAAATTAGGTATTTAGTTTTTTTTTAATGTTCTGATTAGTTGTAGGGCCTAGGTACAACCACTAGGGCATGTGGAGGAGGACACTTACGTTGGTAGGTAGGTACACAGAAAAAAAATGTTCACCATAAACATTTTTACTTACCGAAAAACTCCTTTCAGTGCCGATGAGTCCTGTGTCACTTAATCAATGCCTTGAATCCAATAGGAAATCAAATATTAAAAACGCGCATTCATAAAACATGTAAGCTATCAATATAATAAAATATACCATCGATTAAAACGGCTACTTGCTGTCATTATTAATCACAGAAAACGCGCATCAGACAATGCAAATCACACAGTACGAAAAAAGCACAGACATGCAAAACAACACTGCACACTTAACGAAGGGGTTGAGCTCAATGGTTTAATTGTTGTATATTTTTTCCCATTTGTCAACGAACCAGTATCTGGAGCACTATGCCAAGGTATACAGAGTTCCAAATAACTGACAATTAACCTAGAAATCATCAATACATTTTATAGACGCACCCATTAATTTCGGTTTATCATAGTTCCTGATTATCTGACAATGGATCTTTGAAAATACCTGTAACTCTCGGCACAAACAAGTTTAGGTATGATTTGATAGAATCGGTTCGCAAACGTTACAAAATAAGCTTTTAAACTAGCCGATTGAAGAAACGAAAACATGTTCTCGATAAAAAAAAAAAATGGCCGAAAGGGTTCATCCAATTCAGACTGAGCAAGGCGTCTTTCTGAGGCCAATTTAGACAGTTTCCCTAACCAAATAACTAGCAAACCAATGGGCATATCAACTGGCTGAGACAAATCATCCAGGCAACTTAAAAAAATGTGATGAGGTACATATGATATCATCTTTTGAGTGAGTGTCCTTTACAACACTACTTTTACTCCTGTCTTTTGCAGCATATCATTTACTACATCATCCTTGCATTATCTTTTAGCCATAAAAGGTGTTTTACAACACTACTTTTATTTTCATCTATATACAATATACATTTTATAGTTAATTTTTATTTT